TCAGTCTTTTGTGAATTGTTGAACTTATTGATAAAAGTGTTATTATTTATACTGTCTGTTATTGATGCTGTCAGTTTTTCAATGGCACCATTAATGTCCTCTTTTGTCTTTAGCGGAATTTTTAAGTCTAGTTTGTTTTCCAAATCATCACGAAATTGGTCCCAGTTCACTCGTCCTGTAATCAATTTAGGAGGTGATGGTTTAGGAGCATAGCTCGAATGTAGTGAAAGTAGAACTGGACTATGGTCTGAAGAAAGGTCATCAAGGGATTTGATTATGGTTTGTGAGGAGGAGATCTGAGAAGTTATAAATATATCTAGGATATCGGGACGTTTTTTTGAGGGATGTTGGCCAATAAGTAGGACTCATGGGCGAAAGGATTGAATAATTGTTGGAAGATGAAACACGTGATAGGATGTTACCGCGGGGTTTAGATGTTCGACAACCCCATCGTTGGTGTTTAGCATTGTAGTCTCCTCCAGCAATGAAGCGCGATCCGAGGGATTTGAATAAGGAATCAAGGAGGTTATAGGAGAGGGAATTACCAGGAGGACAGTATACAGCTGAGAATGTGAGATGGAAAGGGCGAGTTGAAAGGACTACAGAAGTTGATTGAATGGCATCAGTTGGAGTGGAAGGAATAAGGGAATGGGGTAATGATTTATGTATAAGGATGCAAGAACCGGCATGGGAGGTGTTGTCTGGGTGATCAGTTCTATAAGTGAAGTAGTCACGTATGTAGAAATGTATTCGTTTAGTGAAGTGAGTTTCAGTCAGCAGAGCAATGTCAATGTGATTATTATGAAGAAATAAGTCAAGTTCGTCACGGTGGTTACTTAGTCCGTTAGCATTCCATAATAGGATAGTTAGGGGCTTTGTGCTCATCGTTGGAAATTGAACGGAATTTCAGTCAGGATGCTGGTGAGAAGAGTGATAAGTGGTTTTATAGTATTTTGCAGGTTCAATAGGAAGGATGATGGAATGGAGGTTAGGTCAGATGGATGTTGATTGTGAATTGGATTCAGGATAGGTTCTTGTGGTGGATTAGGAGTGTTAGCTGAGGGCAGGATCCGTCGTTGTGCACGAGGTGGGTCTAGATTGGAAGGTACTTGTGCTGCACTTTTTTTCTGGGCGTTAGGATGGGACTGTTGAGGATGCTGCAGTGGTAATTTGACTCGTAAGGGTATATGATGAGGGAGAATTTGCTGACGTGGAGGATGAGATTGGGGATTGTGGTTTGCATTGGGAGATTTGAGGCTGCTACTTCTTCATGGTGATTTTCTAAAGTCCTGCTGAGATTGATCAATTTCTTTTGAAGTAGACGGTAGCTGTCTATTTTGAGTAGACGTTTTTGGCAATTCAGGAAAATTTGACAGATTATCAATTTCAGGTAGATGGGTGACACTTTCTTGGTTCAGTTTTACGCTTTTCGAGGCAATGTTCTGAGCTCTCTGCTTATAAAAATGTTTATAAACTTTGCATCCTTTGTAGTTTGCTGGATGTTCTTCACCACAAAGGGCACATTTCGCAGGCAGGTCTCGAGGTCTGACAAGTTTCAGATGCGTGGGGGCCGGCACATTTCACGCACCTGACCTGGTGATGGCAATAAGTCTTTGTATGCCCCAAGTCTTGGCACTTAGTGCATTGCACTATTATAGGCTTTTGTCTAGGCTCTTCAATATAGAATATATAAGCCTCTACATTTGAAAAATTTCGATGTTATTGCTGGCAGGCTCTAAATCGACGAAAAATAGTGGTAAAGGATATTTTTCCGTTGGGTGTAGTACGCATGATATGTGCCTAACATTATGACCTATTTCTTCTAGGCCACTTTTGATGAAAGATATTGGGGTGCTTGAGTGTAGTCCTCTCAACACCCCTCGGTATGGCTTTTCTTGTCTTAATTGGTAACAATGGAAATCATAGTTTTTGGACGTAAAATAATTTATAAGTGTTTTTTAATTTTCTCGGGAGTTTGTGTTTATTTTGATATCATTAACTCTGGAGAAACAGCGGAAATTGGTCTGTCCAATCAGACCGGCAATTTCTTGACCAAATGTAATGAATTTATCGACTTTTGATATGAAAATAGGTGGCAGCTCGGGCTCAGAAAACTCTTGAAGCTCCGGAATTTTTTATATTTAAATATTTTTTATATCAAAGATTAATGTGAAATGGTTAATCATAACAAATAAAAAAAAATTAAAGGTATTTTAGAGGATGCTAATATTGAAAATTAGACATTTAAGCCATCTTACAGAACACCAATGAGAATAATACCTACAACATATTAAAAAATACTAAATAATACACAGATATACTGAGTTTAATCAAAATTGTTAGAGCCATTTTTGAGAAAATCGTAAAAATGTGTTACATCGATGATAAAGTATCACTTCCGGTTTGCCGATTTTGATGAAAATATTGCAGTAACATCCCAGGCTTATAAAAACTTCAAAAATGCAATTTCAGTTTCGTATGACTTTTCGTTTTTGAGGTAGGCTGTTCACATACATACAAACAACAATTTGTGAGACTTGGTTATTTGGACTCAGGGGACCTCAAAACGTGTATTTCCGTTGAAAACTCAGATCCAAAAATTTTCAGGATCACAATACTTAACCCTACTTTATATTACTTAAATAGGTAACTGAAAGTAAAAAATGGTTATATTGAATCTTAAACAGCTTAAAATTATCTAACTTAGGGGTGATAAATAGTCAGGATGCAGTCATTTTAAAGGTTTTTATTGGTGCCAATTTTTCAAGCCAAACATGTGGGTCATCATCAGGGAGTGTCAGGAGTATTCTCCACCTCGGCACTCTCATCCTATTCGCTCAAGACCAGAACTGCAGCAGCAGATACAGCAACAAAAACCAGCACCGGCATCAAACCAACAACAGAGACCTATAGGTATGAGTAGAGGCATAACCCAAACAGTCCCTACGATTGAAACTGCCTCAAGTGATATCATACATTTAAGTAGTGGTCTAAATAATCTTATACAGCCTAAATTCACCTACTTACTGACCAACTTCTAGACAGAAACCACCAGACTTACTTGATTTTTTCAAAACTAAAGGACTCCGAACAACACCTCACACCATAAGAACGAGTTCAGATCTTTGCTCTGATCATTCCCTTTTGTATTTGGTATTACTTGACGAGCGTTGTGAAGCTACAAAAAACTGTCTCTGATCAATGGCATGATGGATTGGGACATGTATAAGAATCAATTGAACCCTCTTCTCTCTGATCCTCTATTCATTAAAAACGAAGAACTTGAGGATGCCGTTGAATACTTCACACACAATATTCAAGGATGGTCTTCATCAGTAGCAAAACCTCAAAAATATGAATTGCTACCAATGTATCCACAATACATACGGGATTTGATCAGAGTGAAGAGGAGAGCTCGCAAAATATGGCAGACTGACAGACTCCCATCAGATAAACAAGTTTACAACAGATTTAATAATGAACTCAAGCGACAGATTGGAAAATCCAAACGAACAACCTATGACAGCTACATTAAAAATCTCTCAACCGAAGATGGAAGCTTGTGGAGACATACCAAAAAAAAACCTTATTAAGCATCGTGAAGTGTCAGCACCCCTTCGAAGAGAAGATGAGAAATCTTTGCCGAATACCTTTCTTCTGGTTTTATATCAAGTAAAGACTTCACAAATACTGAACATGATAACACTGTACTAAACACTTTGGACATGCTACCCTACAACTAACTTTATCTCCTATTTCCTTCAAACTCATCTTCCTCATACCACCCAATCAGCTTACTTCCTATCTATTCCAAAATTTTTGAAAGCTTATTACTAAAAAGATTGTTGATATACTACAAACACCCGATATACTAAAAATCCTACTAAATCAAGACAAATCACAGGACATCACATTTACCCTTCGAGGTGAAACATGCCCTCCAGTTTTTCTTGACAATCCACAGATACCACAGACACCGTTCACTACCTTGTTCTGACATTTGACCGAAAAATGACGTGGAGCCCACATATAGCGAACAAGAAAAAAAAACTAAATAAAAGATTAAGAATTCAGAATTCACTTCTTTCGAAACATTCAAAACTAAATTGAACACATATAATTACTTACGCACCGCAGATATTTGGAACAGCTAAGAAGTCTCATAAACAAACTTCAAGTTTTTCAAGCAAAAACATTAAGGACAATCACAAAAGAAGCTTGGTATGTTAGCAACATAACCTTACATACTTACCTCTATGTGCCGACTGTTAATGAACACATTACACATTACAAACGATTCCACAACAACTTACAAGGACATCCTAACACACCCATATAAGACATGAACACATGACTTCATATCAAAATCGGACATCTGTTTTTTTCAGAAAGCGGAGCAGAAGTCAATTCAAACTATTTCTGATGATTTTATTTAAGAATAAATATTCAAGTTGAATCATGAGAAAAAAAAAACATATATTGGAATCGGTTAGAATTGAAACTATGTTATAAAAAATTGGCTTTTCATGAACTTTTTAAAAATGACAGAAGTCTTTGATAAAAGGTCACTCGCATGTCTTTACTAATTTATTTATAGTATTTACTCCAACTTTATTCATTTCATTTAAAGTCTTTAATATTTGTCAAAAGAAAAGAAAATCTCTTCACGTTTCTAATACTTAAAGGAAGGTTCAAAGAATTGTTTTAAAAGTAGTATTCTTTATTAGCACAAAGTCATGAATAAAGAAAATATACTCTTGATAACAAACATGAACAAAATATTATAATTACACAATTATAATTTTTCATAACTGAAAATAAACAGCACAAAGAATGGATTTCTTTAATTCACACGTGGCTTATACAAGTTTCAAGCAACTATTCTAAAAACTAAAACTTTCTAAACAGTAGGAAATATAAATAGCACCACATATAAAATTAAATAATTAAACTCTATGAGATCAATAATAGACGGAAATATCTTTAAATCAATAAATTAGTTAATCCTTTCCATAATAGGAATCAAAAGAGATATGAACTCTCATTTCATCCAATGTGACTTCAGACGAACAAAGTGGACATTTTTCTCCCATTTCCAGCAATCTAAAAAGAAATATATTAAGTTTATTTTACAATAGGCTATTTGGTTATTTTAATATATTTCAAAATATTATTATATAGTTTCACAAACAAAATTGAAAGAAAATTAACTATACTGAATTAATTACTGATTAAAAATCAATGGAGAAAATACAAACACGTTTTATCTCATTTTATGAAAATAATTAACCTGTGATTCAATGTGAACTAAATTTACAAATTATAATGTACTTTATTATTATTTTTTAATATTGTGTTGTTTTTGTACTATATTATAAAATAAGGAGCTATAAACAAAATATTACCTAATGAATTCTGATCTTATAGCTGGAAACTGACAATTGGGGCAAACTGTGAAGTCTTCTTTTAATACGTGCTTTCCCTAAATTATAAGAATATTACCAATAACATAGAATAATAATAATAATACAAAATTATAAGTAATATTAAAAAAAAAATTAAAAAGATATTTATGTAACATATAGAGCTTCTTGTACTGGTGCATCATGGCTAGAGCAGGATTTAATACAGTTTACTGTCATTATTTTGATCTTACCAACAACTTATCTAATCTATTGTTACGTGTGTGTTTATACACACGCTGTTAAATACAAAAGTTTATCTATTTTATTATTTTTCATGAAATAAATTAATGTAGTGGTAATCTAAAAATAATGTATAAATTAAACAATTAATGGTTTATTACTTTCAATAATGAATCTTTGTAATCGGCCAAGAAAAAAAAGTTTTTTTTTCTCCCTCTCAAAATTTGAGGTTTTACGTTGCAAGATATGTGATTACAAAAATGGCTGAGGAATACATATATCTTGGGGCAGTGATCACCACAAATGCAAAGATGGATCAAGAGCTCTCTAACAGAATTAAGGAAGCAATAATATCTATTACCACCTATGCAGTACTGTAGTAGGGAAAAGGGAGGTGGAGAATGTAAAATTATATATTTTTAATACGGTTTATCTCCCTACACTTCTCTATGGAAGTGAAAGCTGGGTTCCACTAGACAGACACTTGAGTAGAATCAAGCTGCAAGATGAAGTACCTCCAAAGAATGGCCGGCCGAACAAGAAGAGATCAGATTCGAAATGAAAAAAATCTAAATGACCTCGGAGTTTCAGCTGTGAAACATACAATTTAAAACAGACAGTTGAAGCGGTTCAGGCATTTGTGTAAAATGCATAAAGACCGAGAGCCAAGGAAGTTCTTCAAAGCCAAGACCAATAGGAAGATATACTCGAGTAAGACCAAGGATGATATTGATAGACAACATCATCAGGATGGGACAGATTAGAGAGAAAGGGTTAAATGCCGTGAAGGTGCTGGCTTGTGATTGCGATGACTGGCTAATATGGACTGAGGCACTTCCATGTTGGAAGGTACAAAGGAGGAAGATAAAGAAGAAAAAGATACGTAGACACAGAAAATCTAATAAAAAAAAAATCTGTCCATCCAGGGCTCTTCATCCGAGACAGCCGAAGTCACGCAAGCATGATCCTTAGAACTCTACATTACCATCCACAATTTCATTTCAAGATGGCAGCCAAAAAACCTGTCACTAAAGATTATAGCCCCTAAACAGATGTAACGATTTTAGTGAAACTTGATATAAGTCTTCCCCATCAGGTCCTTTAAATTGATGTATATGATGTGTCATATACATATACATTGTCATATACATTGATGTATATGACACTGAAAAGAAGCTAGAAAAATTAAGAAGGAGTTCATCGGGAGGGGGGGGGTGCGATCAAATAAATACTAAATTATAAAAATAGTATTATTCATTTAATTACTATTACTAATTTAATTACTATTTTTATAATTTAGTATTTATTTGCCCGCACCCCCCGATCAACTTCTTCTCATATTATATCACGGTCAACCATCTCTACATAAAGCTAGAAAAAAGTTAAGAGGGATGCAAAATTAGATTTACACAATAAGTAAATACTTTTTGTTAATCCACACGTTCTACTACAAAGGCGATCTTTTTTGTTTTATTATTGGAAAGTCTTACATCAACTGAAGCAATTGATATTGTCTATATTTCTTAACAAATAACAAAAAATGAAAAAAAAAATATATATATTCAGGCCAATATTAGTAATCACCTCTTATTTATTTACCTTTGAGTGACAAGGAATGTAGTGTTACATTTGATCTATAACTATTTGGAAATAATAAAGCATTGTGAATTAACTTGCAGTGGTTTTTACTTACTGTAGCAATACAAAATGGCAGAGAATTGTTACAATTGTTACAGGCTAGTTTGAACTCAGGGACTGGTTGACTGCAATGAGGGCATGGGGAACTTTCTTCATTTATATCTGCTCCACGACCTTTTCTTACAACTCCTTCCAGCTTTTTTAAATACTTATTCTCAATCTAAAAGCATTAATAATTACTATAAGATTGTAATTTCAGAATTTTGGATAAAAATTAATGTAAAATATAACTTAGCTAGAGTAGTTTACAGAAGTGTACTGGTTAAAGTACTTCAATAGGAGAAAAAAAAATGACCATCATTGATTTTTTTTAGCTTGGTATCCAATAGAATAATTATTAATACAGACTTTCTCATTAAACAACGAACACCACATATATGTAACAAATCAGAAACATAATGAAAACATTTTACTCCTTAAGGCTCAGTAAAGAGTTAACATTTGAAACAGGAAAGTAGAGTTCAAATCAAAAAGAATAGAAAAAATAAAAGATTCCTAGAACAAATAAATACATTAAATTTATTGAATTAATGTTCCAGGAATTTGAAATTTTGTTTCAAATACTAAAATTGTAGGGAATTTTACAATCCAACAATAGACATAGTTGGAAAAATTTATATTCTTCATAGAATTAGAACATTTCTCAGATATTAAAAAATGATTAGTATATATTATGTATGACAATTAAATTTATAAAATAATTAAGGAATTATCAAAAAAATGAATTGGTATATATATTGTAATATATACCTTTATTGAAAGTTGGTAAAAATGGTTAGTAAATTAATGCTGAAAAGTTAAAAGGCAAGCTAATCTAGTTCTGCTGTCAGGGGATGATTAAATTTGAACAATAGTTTAACTAGTTCAGAAAAAGAAAATGGAGACTGGAGTGGAGTTTTCTCCAAAAACGAAAATTCCAAAGAGGGGAGGAACAAAGGATTTTTGTTTTGGCAATCAGTTGTTGTTTAGCTGTTGTGGGTGGGGTGGCCGAACGGGCTAACGTGTGTGCACAGCACCGCTGTTTTTATGATCTATGATACAATGGATTTAAAATAGCCCGCACCCCCTGGGCCGGAAAAACCCTGTATAGCCTTAAAGGCGAGGACCAAAAGAAAATAAAAAAAAAGTTGTTTGGCTGAGTCACTTGTTGTTTGGAGTTACAAGAGAAAGGGAGCTTGAGTTGAGTTGATGAAAGTGTCACCATTTTGGAAGGTGTTTTTGGCAGAACTTTGGAAAGTGTTTGAAGACAAATAAATTCAGTGCCACAAAGGAAGAAACAATGTTTATAGAAAAAAGGTTAGCTTGCCAATTCGTACTTGACTTCATTTTAAATCAAACAGTGTTTAGTGTATATATTCTTGTTTGTATGAGTCTTTTGATCTGATATCGGTAACCTATACCTTGAGATAAAATAATGATAAATTTCAGTTCAATATATCAATATTCTTATAATTTTGTTTTTTATTTAACAACCCCCTATTTTTTTTTGGAAGGATCGCTACAGTATGAAGTGATCTTCCAGGAATATAGTATATAGATATATATCTATATATATATATATATATATATATATATATATATATATATATATATATATATATATATATATATATATTAAATTTGTAAAGATTAGTAGAATACCTTATTTTTATATTCATGTTTCATAAGCATGGCAGCGTAAGTGAAAGCAGAATGCTTAAGTTCAGCGCGGTGGCATTCTATAACAGTAGATGTCAAAATGGGAACTGTATCTGAAACAGTAGTTCAACACAAACAATGGAATATCATTTTCAATATAATTATCTAAAATGTTTATGTATTATAGTACCAAATTAATTCACTAGATATGTTTTAAACACATACGGGCAGGGAATTTTGAAATATTGTCAGCAACTCTGAGAAGAAGCCTTGCTGCAAGAAGATGGTTTGATAACTTGACGTGTAAACGAACAAGCCTATAAGAGTGGACGAGTGACAGAAGAGAACTTAACTCAGACGTAACTTGCAAGCCATTGTCATGAAGCTCCATGCACATTCCAACCAGGACTTGATGTGAAAGGCTGTAGTTACCTGAAATTTAATAAGTGTAATGAATCAAGCTCTCTATTATATGAAAAAGTTTTTGATGACTTTCATATTTTATTTTATTAAACATTTTTTTGCTTAAGATTTCAAACACATAATTCTAAAACCGAAATATATCCGTTTCTAACAGAAATTTTTATTTTTGTTCGGATTATACACATTGATAATTTACCACATGATTGATCAAGAAGGAGATAGTCTGGGAGTCAGTTAGGAAAAACATCAAACAACTGCTAATTATTTATTTATTTATTTTATTTTTGTTCGGATTATACACATTGATAATTTACCACATGATTGATCAAGAAGGAGATAGTCTGGGAGTCAGTTAGGAAAAACATCAAACAACTGCTAATTATTTATTCTAATCGTTGACAACAACTTGTCACCATAATTCAGCCATGATGAAGACCTACAAGGTGGGTTGAAACATTTCCAATGAATAAATAATTAACAGTTATCCAGACCATCTCTTAAGATTTTTAAAAAAATATAATTTAGTTCAAAATAAAATAAATTTTATTTACTAATCTAATCAATTTTATTAATGTAACTTACTTTTAATATTTAGGAAATAGTTTGATTATTAATTCTAGTCTGAAGTAGAATGTTGAATTTATTTCTTGGGTCAGCCATAAAAGTAATTTTGAATATTTATAGAAAGAATTAAATAAGAACAGCTTTCAGTGTATTTTAATACAATCCTACTACAAATTAATGCTAGCCATAAATATCTGTGAGTATAATGGGTGATAAATAGTCAGGACGCAGTCATTTTTAAGGTTTTTATTGATGCCGATGTTTCAATCCCTTGTCAGCACCAATAAACACTTTAAAAATGACTGCATCCTGACTATTTATCACCCATGATATATAAAACAGTCGATTGACTTCCTTAAATAATTCATTTGCAAGTATATCTAAGATCTTTTATAGAGGTGATTTATTCAATTAAAGTAAAGGAATTTAATTACACGTTATTACAACACAAGTTAATTATAACACTAATCCAATATAACAATACAAGAAGGTATTTTCTAATAAATAATCATTAACATCTGATTTAAAGATAAGTAACAGTTGAAGTGTTTAAAGGTTGCTCAAGTAACCTTACACCTCCCCCCTGGAGGTCGCTTCTTGAGGCGGCGGCGGGAAGTAAGGAAGCAGCTTGCTGGAGTGGAACAAGTTTGAGACGTTCTTCCTCTTTTCGCTGGCTACTTCATAGAACAACGAAGAAATCCGTCTGACGACTGGGAATGGTCCAATCCGAACTGGATCAAGCTTATTGCGACTTAATTTATTGCCATTCTCGACGTAGACTAAATCGCCAACGTTGAAAGTATGTTCCGTTCTATTCCTATCAACGCGTTTCTTATTGATACTGAAACTCCTCGTTGAATTCCGGAAAGCTATCTTGCGGTCTTCTTCTAAAGAGGATGGAGTGTTTCCAAGTGGAGATATAGAAGATTGATGGCCGAACAATAGATACGATGGTTCAAAGTGGGTGGAACTATGGATGGTATTATTGTATTCGTTCACACATTCTTCTGCCAAGGTAGACCAGGCTCTTCTATTGCCATTGTTTATCTTACATCGCAGGCGATTCACTAAGGTCTGATTCAATCTTTCGTTTAATCCATTGGAACTGGAATTGTCAATGCATGTGAAAACGATCTGAGTCCCAACACTTCTCAAATATTTCAGGAAAAAAGTTGAGTTAATACCTGTATATTGGTCAGCCAGTAGAATCGAGATATTATATTGTTTAACTACAGGATCGAGTAAGTTTATGAAATCTTTAGCTGTTTGACCCTTTGTTGTAGAGATCCATGCAAATCTTGTGAAGTGGTCAACGAGAATGTGCATGTTCCGTTTGGAAGAGCGGTTCCCTCCGAAACCTCCGACACTGTCGAGCGACATGATCTGGAAAGGCTATGTGGCTGGGCCGAGACGGGAGAGCAGGCCGATGGCACGATTACGACTAGTTTTGTTCTCAATACAAATCTTGCAACTCCTATAGAAGTCATTAATTGCTTTATCTAGGCCCTTGAAATAGTAATATGGTCTGATAGTTGCTTTCATGTGAGATGGGCCGATATGGCCATAGTGTTGATGAATGATTTTAATAATTTCTTTTCCAAATGCTTGGGATACAAAAATTCTTGATTTCTTCCTAATATTTTTGAAAATTATGCCCTGCTTTGATAAAATCTGGTCAGTCGCTCTCAGCTCTGAAAAATTATCAGCCTGGTCTTTTTTTATGGCTGACAAGTCTATTAAGTTGGTGATCCGGATTGAATCTTCATTCTCGAAGTGTTCAATGACTGGATTTCTGGAGAGTAGATCAGCCAGAACGTTATCTTTTCCCTGTTTATAGATAATATCAAAGTTGAACTGGGATAAATAAAGAATCAAATCTCCCAGAATTTCATCAGATCTGGCTTTTGTCCTCAAGTTTTCTAAAGGCTTGTGATCACAGCAACTGTAAAGTGACGTCCAATTAAGTAGTATTGCCAGAACTTAATCGCATCTTTAATGGCTTTGCATTCCAAGTGAATAACATCTAAACGTTTCTCACGTTCTGAAAGCTTGCGTGAGTAGTAAGCGACAGGATGAAGTAGGCCATCTTCTTGTGGTTGCTTTAGGGTTGCTCCGATACCTTTTAAGCTTGCATCTGTCTCTATGAAGACAGGCTTCTCAATATCATATATAGCGAGGACCGGGGAACTGCACAAAAAGTTTTTTATCATATTGAAAACTTCTTCACATTCATCTGACCACTCGAATTTAACATTTTTCTTCAATAAACGATGCAATGGTTCTAGTTTGACAGCACTTTGTTCTATGTACTTCAAATAAAAGTTTATGGAGCCTAAAATGCTCCGAACACCTGACTTGTCTGAGGGCCTCTGGAGTTTTTGAATCGATATTAAATTATCTTGGGCGGGTGACACTTTATTTTTCGAAAACTTGTGTCCTAGGTACTTTACTGATTTCGCACCAAACAGACATTTTTCTATTTTCAGTTTGAAACCTTCAGTGATCATAACTTCTAAAGCCTTGCTGATATGCTGAAGATGGTCTTCCCAATTCCGAGAAAAAATTAAAATATCATCAATGTAGTTTATGCAGAAATTGTCCAGGTTATTTCTTCTTATAATGTTGGATAGTATTCTCTGGAATATAGCGGAAGCATTTTTAATACCAAACGGAAGAACTTTAAACATAAATTTTCCATATTTCGTAATAAAAGAGGTCTTTTCCCGATCCCGCTCACGAAGCGATATGCACCAAAATGCAGAATTGATGTCCAAAACGGTGAAGAATTCACAATTAGCTACTCTATCAATTACATCTTGAATAGTAGGAAACGGGAAACATTCAGGAACTACTAATTTGTTTAGCTTTCGGAAATCTATGCAGAGTCGAGATTTCCTCTTCTCTTCCTTTTTGTAGGCCAGTGTGACGGGCGAAGAAAACGGGGAGTCTGATTCTCCGATGATCCCAGCTTGCAAGAGTCCTTTTATTTGGCTTCGTATTTCTTCGGCATCCGGGATAGAACATTTATAAGGGCGAGATGTGACAAACTCATCTCTGATTAGTTTTATTTCTGCTTCTCGTGAATGAACTTTACCTACGTCGAACTTGTCTTTAGCAAAAATATGTTGGTATTTTTTTAGTAAATATGAAATCTGTTTTTTGTGCTCCTCTTGTTCAATATGTTGTACACTTCTTAAGTTCTTACAAGTAGTTGTATTCTGGTTTTGAAGAGGACCGTATGTCTCAATCTGATCAAGTTTTGACCGTGTTAAATTTATATTTCTATCTTTTCTATCTATTCTATCAGAAGAGAGATCTTCTGATGTTATGATTTTTGTGTCATTGGTACGTTGCAAAATTCTTAGATTCTCATCTTGTAGTAATTTAAATTTCTTGATGGCATCTATACCTAGTAATAAATCATAGGAGAAATTATTATTCTTGACTACATATGTTGTAATGTAATCAGTAATGTCTCCAATACGGAGTCTAATTTTAGCCCGGGCTGAGGTGAAATTAAGTCCGCCGATAGTTCTTAACGCTGCTCTTTGTTTAATTAACTTCAACTTCAGCAAATCAGCAATTCGTTGATTTATTAATGTTACATTTGAGCCACTATCATAAATAGCCTTAATTTTAATACTGTCATTTATAACAACATTTAGTTTAATCAGCGGATCTAACTTCGCCCGGCTTTCTAGTTTAAATGTTCTGAATCAAGATCGATTTCGCTTAAATCGAGATCAGTTTGATTTATTTTTGGTTGGTTTGGAGTTTTATTTTTGTTACGACATTCAGACATTAAATGATAACGATTGTGAAAACCGAGGGTTTTGCAGTGAGAACATGGCTTACGCTGATAATTACTCTTATGCTGTGGTTCACCTTTTTTATAATAATTTAAAGCAGGATTCACAATAGATTTTGGATTTGATAGTTTTTCTTCCTTCTTTTTTATAAACGCATCTTCTAATTTTCGCAGTTTTGAGTATAATTCATATAAATTACAAATTTTTTCTCGATCGAGCTTCAACTGAGCCTCATTTGGCAAACCGAAAACAATCTGGTTTATACGGGAGATCTCCGTGCCTTTAGGCTCTATGTCAAGTAATAATCTCTCCTTGGTGAGGGCATAGTCGACTAGGGATCTGCCTAAATATTTGTAGCCTAAAGCTCTTTTCACAAGAGACCAGCCTTTATCAAAAAAAATATTCTTAAAAGAGTCCCCCATCCATATGCCCCATGAATCGTTCAGACCAATCTTCTTTAAATTATTCTCATACCAATCATTAGCCGGACCATTAATGAGATAAAAACGTAACGCTTGAATTTTTAAATTATCGGATTTTATCTGAAATCGACAACATTCTTCTTCGAACCTACGTAGCCACTCTATAGGATCTGATTGCTTTTTATCAAATGGTTCTAAAATAAAATTTTTTTCAATATGATGCAGTTTAATTTCATTTTGTTCCGAATTAATTTTTAATTGCATCTCTAATCGTTTAATATGATCTTCTAATTCTGATTGAGTGTCTGTAGGTCTGCAAGGAATTGTTTTTGGAAGACATTCCTCCAATGGCAACTCTCTAAAACAAATATTAGATGATTCATCAAAATATTCCTTTTTAATGTCATCATCAATCTTAACCCCTATTGTTCTATAACCATTAACATTTTTTTTTACATACACAGCATTTAATATAGGTTTCTTACTTGATAGAGACGTATGAAATTTCAATTTCATTCTTCTGGTAATAAAAACCAATTTCTTTTGTCGACTGAAACACAATGAACCACAAAGTCTTCCTCACTTCTCTTCACAATTTGAACGTATAGGAGAGTCATTTCTTATGTGTTGAGATCTTGTAATTAAATTTCTAAGATCTTTTATAGACGTGATTTATTCCATTAAAGTAAAAGAATTTAATTACACGTTATTACAACACAAGTTAATTATAACACTAATCCAATATAACAATACAAGAAGGTATTTTCTAATAAATCATTAACATCTGATTTAAAGATAAGTAACAGTTGAAGTGTTTAAAGGTTGCTCAAGCAACCTTACATATAATAAAACTATGGAGTAGGAAAAGAAAGAAAATATTTAAAAGACAATTATAAATTGGTATTCTGGAAAAATATGGATGAAATAAAATGAAAAAGTTTAGAAAGAAAAATGAACAAATATACTATAAATATACCATTCACTAATTCTTCATTGGATATAATTACAGCAGTTTTTGAAGCCTCTTTATATTGCTTACGAGCTCGGTAAAGCCGAAACACAAATTTCGGATCCTAAAAATGAATTAATCATTGAGATTATAATAAACCATAAAATAAATTCTAAATTAATAATGATTATTTTAAGTAAATTTACCCTAGGTTCACCATCAACTTCCCCAAGAAGCAGTTCTATAAGCTGATTAGCCATAACATCATCATTAGCTGCAGCTACAACTTCGATGGCCAAGATTATTGCTTCTTCCTCAGCTGAGTTTCCCCGAGCTACTTGGATTAAATTTTTTAATGCCTAAATTCATAAAATAATCCATTAAAAAAAATATATATATACTATATTAGATTATATATACTATATCAGATAAATTAATAGATTGAACTAGTTGCCAAAACCTTATTAAATTGAGCAGCATGAAAATAACATTTGGCAGCCAGCATCAATTTTCCACTCTGTTCAAAATGCAATGCCAGTGAAGACAGTTGCCTCTCCCCTTCTTCGCTGCCACCTAACTCCTGGGTTATAAGAGCTGCATAAAGTTCCACTAGCCCTGTTTCTTTGCATAAACGCAGGGCTTCATTTTCTGACCGTGAAATGACCAAAAACTTGAGGGCCGAACTGAAGTCTCCCAATTTTTCAAAATGTCTAAAGAAAGAAAATAATAGAAATAATCGTATGTAGACATTAGCAGTGGTTAAGTTTTATAGATTCTGGTTCCAATTGGGTACTTGCATGAATTTTCAAATTTTTATTTGTCGATAAAGATTAGTTTACAGAAAAAAAAAATGTTCCAAATTGTTCTGATGCAAATTTGCAAAGATTTAAAGAGTTAGAGAAAAGTGGTGGGGATGGGGGCTAAATCAGAGGCCGCCAGTGTCTAGCTCATAATGTTGGATATCTTTTACTTTTTATCTTTCACCTTTAAAACCTCCATCCAAGAAATATCTTTCCAGTATATATTCAGAGATTTTTAAGAGTTCTTACTAGCAATATTGTAAGGGGTTTTCAAGGAATTAATTACCTTCATTAGTCCATCTATAGCAATGGAGGAAGTACTACCTAGCATCGTATTTATGAATTGACATGCATTTCATTAAATGCAAATAAAATGTTCATGACAAGTGTGTTTTCTATTGTTTTCATTTATTAGAAATAATTGAATAAAAAATATTTAAACTCAGAGATAACTTGAGAAACAGGCTTGAAGTGTTATTTATGACATGAACAAATGAAGAAAGTCAAAGGGCAAGTAAGAAAAACAAACTTATTTTTAGTCACATTTATTTATATTTTGGATCTTTCAGTTCTGCACCATATTCATGTAAAACAACAAAAAAAATATTCTTAATTCTGGTTAATTAAAATAGTCTAAATTACTCAGCGACAATACTGAAAAACTGCGAAAAATCATATATAGGTATAACATCAATGGATATAAAAACTCGAGTATATAATCACAAAAGTAACTTAAACCCCAATTCTAAAACAATCTCTGCGTTATCTAACCACACAAAAAATCATAGATATGAAATAGATTTTGATAACATTAACATACTCCACAAATCTAATTCCCGATCAAAACTCAAAACATTAGAATCTATATATACCGCAATAAACCAAAATAAGGTGCTAAATTCAAAGCAGGAAATGGCTCATGTACTACAACATTACACGCATATAATAGCCAACTATAAAAATATTTCTTAAAAATAGCGAATAAAATAAGAAGTTGGGTAATTTTTAGTTGCTAAATTAGTGCGCAATATAGATGTTGCTGACAGTAATTGTTTAGCATTCAGTAAAATGATGTTGGACAAAGAGGAGCCCTCTTCTCTAAAAAGTCGGTAAATAAAATTTATTTTATTTCAATTTACTTAATTAACAACTAATTATAATTTTTTAAAAAAATTTAGACAAAATATGAGACGAAGAACAAACACTGTTCCAATCTACTATGGTTTCAAATAGAAAAATAAGAGAATAAGACACGGCATGAGAATGAAAAGAATTGCATGGCAACATCTGTTAATTGTTAAATTTATTGATTGAAATGTGTTATGTTATAGATGATTATGGTGCAGGTCGCCGAAAGCTTCTCTAGGAATAAAGTAATTTAAAAAAAAATACAGAGACTGTCATTGGTAAACAAATATCCTGATCCACTAAAACATATAAAACAGTCTAAAATTACCTGATAACTATTGATATTTACATGCATACTGTTTTCCAAGATTAAAAATATCTATGCCCAAAATATCAATATATTGAAATTTATTAGTATTAGTAGGCCCGTGCAAAAAATTCGCACAGCATATTGTTATCAAATGCCAAATTAATAAGAAAAGAAAATAATGCAACGTATCAAAAGATAAAGGAATCAATTGTTACTTTATCGATAAATATAATCGACAAAGGAAACAAAATTAATTTAAATCTTCATTTTTGTTTGGAACAGACATATTTACAAATTTCAATAAGCTGTATCTTTGCGAAAAATTGTCCGATTTCAATGATTTTTTTTTTTCCTTTTGTAGACAATTTAGTAATGTTTTATATACCCATGGGAATAATCAAGGAAAAAGTGTGTAATGTTTTAGTTATTCGCAAATAAAGTTTCTTTTCTTTCATAACTTGTTTGCCTGAATTTTCAGGGTGATTGGACAATTTTGCCCGCCTGAAGGAAAAGGAAGCCTTCGAAATTGGTGGCTCAATCTTGAGATTTGGTGAAGAATTAATGATGATATGGCTTGCCGATCAAAAACACCATCGATAAATAATATAAACTACTCCTGTCTCGATCATAGAGACCTCAAGACATGTGTCCAATGACAGTACTACAATTAACGTCAGGTTGTGTGGATGCGAACCCCATGCCCCTTGCGTTATCTCAAAAATAGTACGTTTTTGGGCTTAAAAACGCAGGATCCGATAGTTCCGGAGAAACTATCCGAGTCTTGCTGTACGCATCATAATCTTCAAGGTCCAATTTGTCCCGCATCGATCTACAGACCTACCACCGTTCCAATATTAAAGCCTAGCAATATGTTTGTAGTATTGAAGCCTATCAAAATGTTTGTATCGACTTTATTTATTTTAGAAAGAAAAACAAAAGTGGAGAATAGATTCGCTAATCCCCCGTGAAATTCTGAATCCAACGGTATCCCATTCATGATATTTGAGCATGACAGGAGCTTATATTTGGTACAAAACCGATTTCGAGCCTTACTGTAATAATACATGTGGGGATGATATATATTTATACTTTTCTTTTAAATTTATATCCCTACATGCACCTGTTTCAGAAACCACATTATTGTTTTTTTGGATATATGATAGAAAAAATATGTTTTGTTTTTTTATTTTCCCAGTACTTCTTATTAAAAATTACAATAAAAAATAGTGTTTTTTTGGAATGAAGGATGGAAAAATATGTTTTTTTTATTTATTCATTAATCCTTATTAAAAATATAATAAAAAAAAAAATGTATGCCTCATGGGTATAATTTTTAGAACTAAGTGAGCATTGATATAAGTGTTGCATTAAATATTAATTTTTCTAATATTTACACATAATTTGGTTTTGAAAGAATAGCACGAGACTTATACCAAGAGTCACTTTAACATATAACAAAAAGAAAAATAACATTTAATTAATAGAAAAAGGATTAAATAAAATAATTGTTAAATAGAGGACCTGGCTAGAGTTTTAGCAGCATGAATATTCCTTGTCTGTTCCACTATATTAACTGCTTTCTGAGGCTGATTTAGTTTATCAACACATAGTCTAACCACATTCTCTACATCAGCACTTTTAGCATAAGATTCCACTGCTCCTAGATAGTCACCATCAGACTCTTGTGCCTATGAATAAAAACAACAAGGCCTAATTAAATAACAGAGTACCAGTGCTTTTACAATAATATTTTTGGAAAATGCATAAAAAAAAACATAGAAATAGAATGAGTTTCATAAGAAATAATATATGTAAAATAAGTGTTAAGAATAAAAAAAAATTAAAAACTACAGCAGGTACACCACATGCAATAAATTTACATTTTGCAACATAGTATTTAAAAGAGATGCTAAAACCCTGGGTACAAGATGTTGATTAATCTTAAAATAATTTTAATCAATCAAACTATGAAAATAAAGTTTGGCCAAATTATTTAATATTTTAACTAGCTAATCATCACCAAAAACTTCCATTTCTTACGTTAGCCGTTAGAAATATTTAGTCAACCAATAAGAGCATATGCACTGAGTTTCACTATTATGCCTTTTTTTTTTTTTTTTTTTTAGAGGTAGGATACACTGTGGTCACGTTGGGTCTATTGTGTCCCACACTTAAGCTGTCTTATATTTAAAAAATCTGGATTATAAAATTTTTAACTGAGCTAAAGCTAAAAAATTACAGCTAATAAATCATAAATACCAAAAGTTCTATTTATTATTTCACCGGTTGATTGTGGATGTACGACTATTAGTTATTGAACTGTTATTTTCCATTGCAAAGTTTGCTAAAACGGAATTAAGAGATTTGTATTGTCTGTCATAGACAGGTCAAAAGTTGTCACACTAATTGTAAGTGGATACTGTTAGGATATCACAAAAGAAATTTCATCAAACTATTCATTAATTTAATTTTCTAGAAGGTTATATGATGATTTTTCAGAATCAACGGACGATAGATACCTAAATATAATATCAGCTCTAGAGTTATTAAACTACAGTAAATATATTTAAAATTATAAACGTATCTATGAAATGTTTTTATATTTCACTTCTTCTTTCACACAAGTACAATGAAATAGTAATGGATACTGTTGAAATATCACAAAGCGAAGATTCATCAAATTATTCACTAATTAAATTTTCTAAAAAGTTAAATGACAATATTTTGGAATAAATGGAGGTAGATACCTACTTATTTAAATATAATATCAGATCTAGAATTATTAAACTACAGTAGATGTATTTAAGGTTATAAACATATACTTTAGACATCCATAAAATGGTTTTATTTTTTACTTCTTTCACACAAATGCAATGATGTAGTTTTTTAACAATTTTATTGCCTTGATTAGGTGGATTTTAAATACTTTTTTCAAACATAAAAATATTTTAAAAGTTTACATATATTTAATAAATTTCATTTAATTTCCTTGAAAATATGTGATTTACGTTAAATATTATAATTTTCAAAAATTATTATTTATAATTTTTTTGCCACTCTCCGTTAACTTTTACTTATAGAAGGATAGCGGAATAGTGATTAATCACTAGTACTTCAGATTGAAAAAACTTCTAGGTTTATCTTTTCTGCAATTAGAATGCTACCAATGGCTAGTTTCTCAACAAGCGTTTTCATGTGATTGTGTTATTACTGTGTATATATGTACTTGATATATTTTTAATTTATAACAGTTGTAAATATCATGAAGAAATAAATAAATAAATCTTTTCGTTTGCTCCTAAATATCACCGAAATATATCTATAGGCACAATATCTCTATAGGCAGTAAGAATCATCACTGTAGCAGCTTATGCCATTATTAAGTTTCTATTGCTTGCTTATATCAGTGATGACATAATATTTTTAAACCATGTTTTAATTTTTTGTCCCTTAATTTTAATTGCTTTACTTTAATTCCTTAAAAATGGACTTTTTTGAAGTAGATTATCATAAAGCAAAGGTTTCATTTCAAATATGATCCCTTATATGATTAAAAGATTTCGGAAGAAGTCATTTCACTTCATTGTAATCTAGTACAAAAAACAGTTAAAGAAAAATAAAACGATAAAAATTGAAGAATAGACTAGGCTGGATTTAGAATTCTAGTACACTGGTGTTTTTCTCTCAAAACATATAAAGTAATATTGAAGATGAAATATCTTTAATACCTACTTTAGCATACTGACGATAGATTTTAGGATCGGAGACCTTTGGTAACAATTCTCCGACTTTCTTCCAGTTTTTCAATGAGATATATGCTGCAGCTGCTTTGTCAAAATTACCAGATTTATCATACAACACAGCAGCCTCGTTCATTTTCTATTTGAAGTAAAGAAACATAACATTTTATAAGAGAGAAATACCTCACATTTATAAATAATTTAATACATAAACATCTTGAATTTTGTAATCATGGTTTTTCTAAGCTATAAATGATGTTTAAGATAACATAGTTGCATAATTTCACACACATACACTCTTTAATAATAAAAATATTATCTAGATAAGACCTTGACAGATTCCAGAATTACAGCTGCTTGAAACCTCAAGATATCTGAGGCTTCAGGTTCATTTGCAATAAGTAAACCCCTTCGAAAATCGCCAAGTCGGAGAGAGGTTCGACAGATTCCTTCTTTGCAATGTAAATTGTGTTCTTCATCCTCAACTGCGCTCATAGCCCGCTCATAATGAACCAATGCTTCTCCATAATCTCCACTGTAAGGTATGAACATTGAATGCATTTAGTCGTTATTAAAAAATATAATCATATAATTAGAGAAAACATAAATTTATATAAGATGAAGAAATAATTTTACTCTAAAACTAATAAGAATTAATTTTATATAATAACATTATTTGACACCTCTATAGATATATTTCAAGACTAAACTGTTTAAAAGTTAGACAAATAGCAAATCAAGTAATAAATTGTTACCCTATAAAGAAATGTTATGAAATCAATAGGAGTTACAACGATACTTACATTAATTCAAGCTGAGTTGCATGTTCTAGAGATATGGATGGAACCTCTTCTGGTGCAAGAGTTCTGGCTAACTTCAGAGCTCTATCCCATTGTAGCAGATTTTGGCGCATTATGAGTGCATTAAGTGGTTCACTTGATTCTAAGAATAGTTTCTGGAAAAAAAATATTCAAGTTTAAGGTTTATTTGAGTCAATTTTGTCCAATAATAGCATAGGGTAAAATTTATTTTAAATAACAAATGATTTATTTGTTGTTTCAACTAACAAATGATTTATATGCTTGGTAAAATAAATAACAAATAATATGAAGTTATCTGTTATCTTTTATGCAAGTTTTTCAAATACAAATTTGAATAATTGAATTGAAAGCATCTTTTAGTGAATATGGTTAAAAGGAGTTCGAATGTTACAACTTTTTATTCCCTTTTCCTCTTTTATCAGAATGAAGTAGGTAAGACCCATCAAGCTAGTGGAGGCATCTCACCCCAGGCATAAGACTAACAAACCTTTTCCAGTAGATACTTGGCTGAATTTGAACTTTTATTTAACAACTTGAGAGAGCAGTGGGCTATAAGACTAGGAAGTCATTAAATAATAAATATATTTGAATTTTCAAACAAAATATTTATTTTAAAAATATTTTGACACTGATCTGATAGATCACTTAACTTTCACTAACCACCCTACTTATATAAGTGAATTTGTTGTCAGATTAATATTTAATTTTTTAACTATAATATCGGGGCTAAATTATTAAACTGAAGTTTTAACAATGTAGGTTATTACTGTATGTTCTCTCAACCCATAAACTCTGCTTGAAATATTTTCAAGAATGCCCTGCTTCACACCATCTCTCACAAAAGTACAATGAAATAGTTTTTAAAGAATTCCTGAACAATTAGATGAATTATATATTTTTAGTTTGTAAAAGATAAAAATAATTTGTAAAAGTTTCCATTTAGTTTAGACATTTCATTTACCTTTCATGGAAACATTTAGTTTCCGCTAATAATACTGGTCTCCACATAATATTATTCAAATGTTTGTCATCATTATTATCTTTTATGACTTTATATGTTAGATAATTACTTTTTTTAAATCTTTAGCTTTCTAAAGATATGTCATAAATGAATATTACTAATCTTATTTCCAAATATTTATTTTTCAAAGTGGAATTTTTTTTCTTCTCTTTAGTTAATTATGAAATTCTGCTACAGTTTATATTTACCCATTTTATATTACTAATTGCAATGAGAGATGGTTAATTCTTTCTAATAAACAAAAAGAAAGGTACTTTAGAGAAAGATTGGCATTTAAACCTCGTAATACCATTTCAATGGAAATAAAACCTGACTAGAGTCGTTTTAAAGAAAATTGTAAGATTGATAATACAAAATGGTGCTTCTGGCAAGTCAAATTTAGCAAAAAGGTTGCTGTGACTTTCCAGGGCTTCTTAGAGACTGTTCACTTACACAAAGACTTTTTTGTGAGACTTGGTTGTTTATTGAAAACTGAGATTCAAATTTTTTCACCATCACAATACTTTCCATTAGTATACATTTCATGTATATGTAAGTGAAAGTATTAAAATTGTTTTAATTTGCAAGAATTCTTTAAGAAATGTTTTTAATACTCCACACACATTCAATATTTTTCATCATTAAGCATTTTAGGAAACATTAGAGTATTTAAAATATATAATTTAAAGATACAAAAAACAAAAACAAACACTGTTTATACATGTTATATAAAAAAAGAAGTGTCCCAGTATAAAATATAGATATGTATGGTTATTGTATCATGAATGCAATATTTAATATATTTACCTCAGCTTTGTCAAAATCACCCAATATTTCTGCAATATGCCCACAAAGCAGCTTCTTATTTTCTACATACAATATATTCTCAAGAGTCATGACCATAGCTACATCACCAATTTGTCGATAAACTTTTAAAGCTATAACATAAATTGTCTCTATTTATATTTTTCAATATAAATATTTTTGTTTATTTATAATAAAAACAAAAACTGTATTATATATATATTAAGTATGAAATTGACAATAATGAACAATATGGATCAGGAAAATGACCATATTACTAAAAATAGTGATTTGTCAGCAGATTTGAATAAGTTAGAGGAGATTATTATTTTTTTTTAGAACATTAAACATAAAATGAATAAGAATATAGTACTCAATGTAAATAAATCAATATTTAATAAAATAACAGAAAAATAATGACAAATATGCCAAACTTTCATCAATTAGTTCAATAATGTGTAAAACTATTGTTGTGCAAAAAATAATCTTATTAGATTAATAATAGAGTAAATGCGAGGAGTGTTTAAAAACAACATGACTAGGTCATTATAAACATGAAGAAATCATTTTAAAAAATAAAGTAATAATGATGAAATGTGATTTGTTTTATATATATTAACATATTGATTTGGCTTTTTCTTAATTTTTATATTTATCGTATGGAATAAGCCCCATGTAGCCTAAAGGCCATGAGTTCCCCACCTATGGGCTGTACCATAAGGAGAAATAACTAAAAATATCATTTATACTGAAGTTGTGTAAATTATTTTAAACATGTTTGTAAAAAACTAATTATGAAGCCAACAAACTGTTAAGTCTGGTTTTGGTAACTGGTCCTTTTGTTTTTCAAAATTTTGAATGTTATTCAGTTAATCAGATGTACATGGCTATTTAATCATCATATATATGAAACAGGGATGTATAACCCAAAATAGAAATCAAACCATAGGTTCCATGGCATCATCATTAATACAAATATTAATTGAAAAGAAATACAAAATGAAATGAGTCATGCATAACTGTAACAAACTCTTAATACAAAGTAAATACAACTAGAAAGTAATATAGTCATACTAATTACATAAATTAATGATAATATTAATAAATTAACTTAATTTACCGAATGCTACATCTAAAGTCTTAAGAGCAGCCTCAGCTAGAGCAATATAATCTTCTCTGTTGTTCAATATCATGCAGACGGACAATGCATCAGTAAACCTTAAACATTAAAGTACATTTCAATATTGAATACAAACATCATTGATTGTCACTATCATGATGTATCAACTATTTCTTAAAATAACACTTTATAAAGCTGAATTTTCCAAAATTAAATCCAGGCAACTCTCACAACACAATATCCAATTTGGTTCTCTATATATTCCAGCAGCATATAGCCACTTATATTTTCAGAGTTCCCAGAACTATCGAGACCTAAAATATACCCATTTTTGCCTTTTTGTCCGATGGTGGTGGAACACTTTTAATAAAAGGCATTATTTGTCTTTAAGAACAAGGAAATGCAAGTAATATCTTAATTAATCAATCAATTCATAATTATTTATAAAGGAAGAAATATATTGTAGCTTTACAAAGAAAACTGGTAGAAACAATTTAATTTTTACTAAGTTATTAATAATATTATTTAAATGTGATTAATAGCTAAACTCGAAAATTAACCTTAAAAAAAAAATGCTCATACCACATCTTGAATTTGTTCCTGGTCAAAAGCGAAAAATAACTTGTGTAGAATTTATATACTTTACAAAGTAATGGATATTTGTTTCTGGATAACCTAGGAGACCTGACCAAAAATAAATTAGATAAGAGAAGGAGTTGATCAGTCACACACTCACAGTGTTTCAACTGCCTCCCGCAGTGCTACATCCTACACCCTCATGAAGACCTGCAAAGTGGGTCAAAACGTCTGCAAAAATTAAATAATACTATTTGTATAATTTAGTATTTATTTGACCGAACCCCACCCTTCCCCCCCTCCATCTACTCCTTCTCATATTATATCACGGTCAACCATCTCCACATCATTATAAATTAGATAAGATTCATTAAATAACTGTAATAGACAATTTACACTCTGTCATTATGAGTTTTAGTTCTCCTGAAAAATTGATGTTCCACAGATTCAATAATTTGTCCTACATCCAATTATACTAATCTAGTTGAGCCTGCATTGAAAAAGACTGGTTCAAAAACTGAATGCTTTTCGTTAATCCTTATCTTTCATGACATAAAATGCTTGGCAGTTTTGACCTTTATCATGTTATGTAGATTGTGGGCTAAATATCGTAATGACTAATACAAAACGAGCCAATATCCTATGAAAGACAATAGAAAGGTAAAAACAATACACTGTGCATTAAGCTAACATTTGTAGGATAGACCCAGAAAATGTAAGCATCAAAAGTATTACTTCTGTGCCTTTCAACTCAGACTAAGTATAACAACCAACTAATGTTTGTTATATAAAACAAAATAGTTTCCTACCTGTTAAGAGCTATATGTTTGGCTAAATTTGTCTTCAAATTATCACCAGATTTAAGGATTGAAGGAACATGTGAAGATAAAACTAAATTAGCCAGTTTACCACCAGGCGTATGCAATATAACTAGGCCGTTGTGCAGTACTAGAGGATATTGATCAATTCCTAATTTTGTTTCACCCAATTTTCTGATTTCAGTTCCTGTAAATAAAATGAATCAAAAACATTAAAAAATCAAATCCCAAACTAACTTTTAAAGAATTTATGTTACTAAGCGACACTTAATAACACTCAAATACATCAAGTTATTGTCACTTACTCTACCATCTTGTGATAAATTCTTGATGAGTTTTAATTAAGTATTTAAAAAGCTTGAAAAATATTGACACATAAGTTCTAAACAACCCTAACTCAATTCTCCCAACTTTGTAAAAGGTACAAAAAAAAAGTTTAATGTCGTAAAGATCTTTTTAAAAGTGTTATCATATCTCAAGTGCAAACATCTTAGAAACATATATTGAAACGTGCATGGTTATGATACAATACAGAATGATAAAATAAATCGAGATATTTTCATCAAAAAGTGAGTTAGGTGGTGTTACAATATATATTATATAAAAATATTTATAAAGTAAGATTACTGATAACTTATTTACATACCATCTAATGCATCTCTTATGTATATGTAAGTACTAATTGTCTGAGCATCATAAACAATAAAAACATTTTTATCCTTTTCAGTTTGATCCCACAGAACCCCAATAGCAGATTCAGAAAAATCAGGAATGGGTTTTAGACAATTATCCATCTAAAAAACACATTTTTTATTGAAGCTAAGGATACATACTTTTTAGTTCATACAATATTTCAGTAATGAAATTTCAAAACATCTAGAGTCCCATTTTGTATACCTACTTTTTTGGACCTATGGGGCTTTCTTTGATTAAGGTGATTTTTTTTTTTATCACCTCAAAACTAAAAACAGAATTTAAAAACCATCAAAAGAATATACTTTACTTGGATACATAATAAAAAGTTTCTGATAATTCAGTATTTTGTAAAATGGAAAAAGAGACATTTAAAAATTTTATTACTCTTTGACAGAATAGAGAAAAAATATATGATATATTTTATGTTACAAAACTTTTAAAAAACCACCATTACTGCCATATTAACTTTAAGACTCAGCAGAAATTTTTATTTAATACAGACATCTTTAATTTCCTCTTATATTTCATCAAAGGTCAATAATACATCTATAAGTGTGAATATAGAAATTAATAAGTGCATTAATAATAAAACAAATAGATATAAACAATCACCAGTAATAGGAAGGATTTTACAATTTCCACAAAAGTATTTGTGGTACTTTTGGAAGAGCAAGTTCACTTCGTAGCAAATCATTTTCCATCATTCCTTTCCCTGACTTTACGCTTAATGGAATAATCAGTTGAGAATCTAAATATATAACCAAAATTGTTATCTAAGAAACTGTTTAGATGGTACATTTTTGGATCAATCAACTTCCTTTACATGGCCATAACTGGTGATTTACCCTAATTAAGATAGAAAAAAAAAATCAGGCAATTTACCAGTGAGTGCCACTAGAGGAAAAAAACATTTATCATTATCTAAAACTAGTGGTATATGGGACCACATGCATGTATATAAACATAATGTTTTTTTAACCATTTCTGTCTGACTTGGCTTCAGGATGACAGGTTTAGTTATATTTTGGCACCATATTTCAAATACCATTTGTTTCTGAATATAAGTGACACCATCAATAATGAAATTCTTATTTCATTAACCCATGAGACCTGTTTTATGTGTAAAATCCTCATCTTCAAGAATAGAAATGCTACTACAAACTCTTAGCATTACGTTTGCCTCAGATCTTAAAGAAACTTTGATACTTGTGAGCGACGCGGGCTCTGCTAAACCTCCCTTCTTATCTTATGTGTTACGTCATGTAACCTGCCTTTTTATCTAGTGTGAGCTGTTGCATGTGCGTTTATTCATTGCACCAAATGGAGATGCTTTCATAAGAGTTGTAAGAAAAAGGTATCAATAAGGAAAGGGACGTGGATAGAGGGGTCGAAGGTTACCTTTTTAAATGCATTAAAATTTATTCATGGGTGGTCTCATAATTTTACAATAATAAAGTAGGGCAAAGAGCAACTGACACTATCAAACAAATGTATCATAATGTGGAACAAATTTATAACAGAGGTTTGTGCCTATAACATAATATACAGGTCAACAAAGAAAATTTGAGGGCCTGGGAAAGTGATTGAAGTAGGCGAGAGTCTTTTTTCTAAACGAGAAAATCATGTAGGAAGAGTTCTCCCTGAACAATGGATGTTTGGCGGAGTTTGTCGACTGGGTTTGTCTGACGGGTCCATATTCAACATATAGAACATTTATGGGGCTCAGCTAACTGGAGAAATAAGAAACAGCGAGGACTGTGAGGCAACACCTTGATTCATATTTATGTGAATTTTTTTGGTGGCACGCTCACAGAGAAGACGACCCGTTCCTCGCTATTTTAAATAGCATTAAGCTATTTTGCCTTCCAAAACAAATAAATGAAATGAATAATGTATGTTGTAAAATTGTAGTGTTGTTGTTGTTATTTATATTTCTTATTATTAAATTACTATATTTCTTATTAATATATGTATGTGTATATATATATATATATATATATATATATATATATATATATATATATATTAATAAGAAACAGGCAAAAAAGAGACAACACCAAATATATTTATATTTCTTATTATATGAGAGTCTAATTTCATATGAAGATAGAGATTATCAGTGCCTTATCACAATTATCAGTGTTCAGGGTTATAAACATTGGCAGATAGCAGTCCATAGTGCCCGCCTCGCTCACAAGTACTGAAACATTAATCATCCTTATTCTGAAAAACTCCACATCATGCTGCCTTAACTCTTCAAGCAGCATCAAGAAAGCTCCAGTCACATCTCTTCTATCGTTAATTTGATAAAATAAAGTTAATCAATTTTTCTTCTTCTTTTCTTTAGATGACACAATACCAATAACATGTGAAGCTGAAAAATCTGCTGTGTTTAACTAGTTTAAGTAAAGAAGAAAGTAATGCAAAGACGACACTACTTTTAGACCAACGGTTACAAAAGGAAATGATGTGATAAGTATCCACATTCAACCACAGAATTATTCCTTAAACCAATGATGGGCTGGATACAGCAATTCATAGAGTATATAGGTATAGCAATCCACAGAGGATAGATGTACCAAAGGAGTCTTTCTGCCCTAAAGTCAAACTATGGCAATTTGAACAGAAAATAAATTTTCTCTCAAAGGTGGACCCAAGCCCAAGCTGGAAGTTAGAAATTCCAGAGTTACTCACTGAACTACCTCCAAGCCCCTGTATGTACAACATTATTTAAAAGAGGTCTATAAAATATTTTTCTTAAACTTACTGGAGTATAAATATAACTGTCCATTTTGGCATCAATGATGACAATCCTCGTACCAGTAGTGTCAGGATAACATGACCGAACAGCAGAATCATGCTTGTATTCAGTTAATTGTGTCCAATCTTCTAAACCAAAAACACGAATGTGCCCTAACTGGAAAATAAATTAATTTTATAATTTTAAGGATACCAGTTTCAAAATGTACTAAACATCATTTGTTCTAAATTAAATTAAAAAGTTTCTATGCGAGGTGATATTGTTTTGTTTTTGGAGTTAATTTATGTCTAGAAATACAATTTGATAATCTTTTAAGTTTAATAAAAATAAAAACTGATGACAAACATACATGCCATGATTTTCTGTGTTCACCATTTTGGATTTAGTACTTTTTGGAAATAAGCTCCATATGTAAATAGGTGTGTGTACTATAAGTTTAAATATGGACAGTTTTGATAATTTAATAAAGAAAAAAAGTTTACATTGGGACAGTTTTGACAATTTAATAAAGAAAAATTCAGTACTTTTCTATTGTAATTATATCTCAAAATTTGTAGGGCTAATAATTTTTTTTTAGTTTAAGTATTCTTAATTATTGCCATGTTACTTAGTCCATGACTTATACCTTAACACTTATTACTATTTTTCAATTTATTTTAAACTTTTTCTTTTCATTTTTTTCATTAGTTTTGTTATAACTTATATAAAATTATTAAATTAAAGCATAAATATTACTAAAGATTTATGGGAGAGAATTTATGTTCTCATTGCAATTATTTTGTAGATGCCACAGGAATTATAAATATTACATATGATTTTTAAACCATTTGGCAATATTTGTCTATGAAACTGTATTAAATATGCTTGTTTTTATTTCACTTAAAAATAGAGACTAGGTACATCACATCAAAAAGATAATTACATTTCATAAAAATGTTTGAGAGCTTAAGAGCAACAAAGAAAAATTTTTGTAATAATTAGTTATTAAATTAAATTTCAAGGAAAGTTAAATGTATAATACGTACATCAGAAGAATAAATTAGGAAATCAGTAGTAAGTGCATGAGAAGTAACAGTAAATGTTTCTGCAGCTTCAGGAAATGTGTGAGATTCTTTTTCTTCATCTCTTTCTCCCTCTGTACGATCAATTTTTTCTGTCTGCATAAAATAAATTTGAACATGCTTGGTCAGTATTATTCAATATTTCAAGCTAGTCCTGAAGAAAAACAAACAATTTATAGGTGAAATGATAGATTTTTAGTTTTCACTTAATTGTCAGGATATATTTAACTGAAATACCAGGTTACGGATGTGGCATAGTTTTGTAAATTTTAAAAATTAAATGTTTATGTAGGAAAAAAAATGTTGATTACATTACTTTCAAAAGCTCATAGTGTAAAACAATGCTGATTAATATCATAAAATTATATCCTTTAAATTATTAATGGTCATTTTTTTATCTTGATGGCTGTGACTTATAAAATGTATAAAAATGATAATTTTTCTGGACCAAATTAAATATTAAATTCATTACTAGAACTCAACCAAAATCTTTTATTACGTAAGCACAAAAATATTTTGTAAAGATTATATGTAATGTTATTTATGTTTTTATTTTAATGTTATTGGGTTGTCCGGAATATAATGCAGGATTTTGTTTTAAAAAGAAAAAAGAAACATTTACAACTGTTTTATTAAATCCAAATTATCTCCACTACTATCAATACATTTCTGCCAATGTGTTGGCAACTTTTCCATTTCCTCGGAATAGAATTTCCCATCTTTAGAATCGATAAACTCCAAAAACGCATTTTCTAGTTCCCTTTGTCCATTATATTTTTAGTCACATAAGTAGTGATCCAGGTGTCTTAAACAATGATAATCCGTAGGCGAAAGGTGCAGAGAGTAGGATGGATATAGCAGAGTTTCATATCCAAGCTTGAACAGTTTTTATGACATCACACGTGAGACATGTGGTTGGGCATTGTCATGCAACAAAATGGACTCCTTTCCAATTGACCAAACATGGCTTCGTTATTGCCAATTTCTGATTCATGGGGCATGAATTTGGTTACAATACAATTAGTTATTGATGGTTTCTCCAGGATTTAAGAAGCCATAGTGTATCAAATCAAATGAAGCCCAATAGTAAACATCACCTTTTTCTGATGAGTTGGTGGCTTTGGAAAATGCTCTGCTGCTTCTCCTTTGTTGAGCCACTGTCCAGATTGTCTACTGATATCGTAAAGTTTTCAGTGGGCTTATCGAAAGTTAATTTGCTGAGATAACAATGAAGAGAAATGAAGGGAGGTTTAATCACCGATCAGGAAACTTTTTTTTGTATGAAATTGTCCATACCAATTTTCATTTATCAGAAATAAAATTATCTCAAAAATAAAAATAATAACACCAACATATAGCATTAATCATTCCAGGATAGCTCACATTCATAATATATTGATAAGGGAAGCTAGTAGTAGAGCCATGATTCAATTTTGAGAGGGAGGGGCTAAACTGTTTTTATTTCTCAAATAATGGTAATTAAATGAACAATACTTTTACGGATAAAAGGTTTATATTTTTATTTTACACGAGCTTATATTTGGTAGCTGAAATACCTGCATAACCTGAATGGGAAGATGGTTGGAGATTGTAGTCACAGAGAAAAATAATTTTTTTTTTAAATTATTTTATTTTATCACAATGTTTAAGTATAAGTTTCAAGCCTTCATCAGGACTGCTCATTTGGTGGTAGTCCAGTTTGAGCAGCATTAGCGAATCTATCCACTTAGACTAATATTTATTTATTTATTTATAACAATGGCGGGCTCCTCAACCTCTTACGGGTCATTTTAGCCCTTACAAATTATTTATACTATATCAAATGAAATTTAACAATAAATTGAAAGTACACAATATTTAAAAAATATTAAAAAAAGAGAAAATATTGTGATTGATTACATATTCAGCTCGCATAACTCATAGAAACAAATATGGACCAATGAGAATAAAAATTATGAAGAGAAGGAAGGATGGGTAAGGAGGTGATCAGTCAAAATAAAAATGGCAGAAATAAATAATAATATTTATATTAACTAAACAAATATTTAAATTTTAAATATTATTATTTATTTTTGCCATTTTTATTTTGACTGATCACCCCAACCATCCTTCTCTTCATTATTCACTACAGTCAACCATCAACCCACAATTGAGAATAAAAATTATTTACTTTTTTTTTGTGCATCAAAAAAAATCAATGTGTGCATCTTCACTAAGAAGAAAAAGGTATTTATCAAAATGCCAGAAATCAATGGTATCCAACTGACATTGAACAAGGAAGTTAAACACCTGGGAGTCATTTTGGACCAAAAATTGGCATGGACTAAACATGTTCAGAACGTGACAAGTAAAGCGCTCAAATGCTTATAGGCCTGTAAAAGAGCGATAGGAAAGAGTTGGGGACTCAAACCAAAAATGGTATACTGGCTTTACACAATAACAGTCAGACCTATCATACTTTACTCAGCTCTGCTATGGTGGCACAAAGCAAAGACTGTAGCTAACTCATCCTCATTAGGAAGGATTCAAAGACTTGTATGTATAATGATAACGGGTGCGATGAGCACGACACCGACGGCCGCCATGGAAGTAATGTTGAACATGCCACCGCTGCAACTGGAGGTGGAGGCTCGGGCAACAAACACATTATAAAGCTAAGCAAGTCAACATATTGCTCACCAGTCCCCTGTCAAGGACACACTATTGGACATGACGAAGTGCTAGCCATGCACTCTGACACTCTAATCCGAGAATATCAGGACCAAAAATATGAGGTTGGGATAGATAGCAGCAGACAACACAAACCAAATAATGGTATCAATTGCTATACAGATGGCTCTCTAACAGCCTTCGGCTCTGGAGCAGGCATCTATCGCTAAGACAATAAAGAAAAAATTTCTATACCACTTGGCAAATATGCTTCAGTATTTCAATCTGAGATATTGGCAATCTGCCATTGCACACAAAACCTACTGCGAAGCAATGTGACTGGGAAAAAGATTACCATCTATACCAACAGTCAGGCAGCAATAGGTGCTATCAACTAGAGATGGGCAGTACTCGATTACTTTCATGATTTGAGTAATTTTATTAGGAAAAAGTATCGAGTAGTTTCTGTACTCGGCCTGCCAGCGGCGAGTACTGAGAGTACTCACGCTGCCAATCATGATTTAGTTAAGTACAGAAAATACTCGCGCTGTTATATCGAATTACAGAAAGTACTCAGCCCAATTCCTACAAAGAGTACTTTTTATTTTTCAACTACTCCGTCATTATTATAAAGAGTATAAATGTTTTCTTTTATTTCCTTCAATAATAGCGGCCATATTCGACCTGACCAACCCTAACTCCCCATTAATCGATATTAGACTAACCATCATGTTTTGGGGGGCGCTATTTATTTAAATTATATCGAATTTGAGATTGGGTCCCCCGGGGCCCGACTTTTTTTAACTTTTTGGATTAAATTGATATCGGGGTCGACTATTGTGTTTTGGGGGGCGCTATTTATGAAAATTATATCGAATTTGGGATTGGGACCCCCGGGGCCCGACGTTTTTAAACTTTTTGGATTAAATCGATATTAGAGTCAATTATTAGGTTTTAGGGGGCGCTTTTTATGAAAATAATGTCGGATTTGAGATTGGGGCCCCGGGGGCTGACTTTTAGTAACTTTTCTGATTTAATAGATATCAGGGTCGACAATTAAGTTTTGAAGACGCTTTTTATGAAAATACTGTCGGATTTGAGATTGCATCCAGTGGATTCACTTTTTGGATTTGGTCGATATCAGGGCCGTCTATTAAGTTTTAGGGGACGCATTTTATAAAAAAAAAATCCGACATTATTTTCATAAAAAGCGCCCCCTAAAACCTAATAATTGACTCTAATATCGATTTAATCCAAAAAGTTTAAAAACGTCGGGCCCCGGGGGTCCCAATCCCAAATTCGATATAATTTTCATAAATAGCGCCCCCCAAAACACAATAGTCGACCCCGATATCGATTTAATCCAAAAAGTTAAAAAAAGTCGGGCCCCGGGGGCCCAATCTCAAATTCGATATAATTTAAATAAATAGCGCCCCCCAAAACATGATGGTTAGTCTAATATCGATTAATGGGGAGTTAGGGTTGGTCAGGTCGAATATGGCCGCTATTATTGAAGGAAATAAAAGAAAACATTTATACTCTTTATAATAATGACGGAGTAGTTGAAAAATAAAAAGTACTCTTTGTAGGAATTGGGCTGAGTACTTTCTGTAATTCGATATAACGGCGCGAGTATTTTCTGTACTTAACTAAATTATGATTGGCAGCGTGAGTACTCTCAGTACTCGCCGCTGGCAGGCCGAGTACAGAAACTACTCGATACTTTTTCCTAATAAAATTACTCAAATCATGAAAGTAATCGAGTACTGCCCATCTCTAGTTGATAGCACCTATTGCTGCCTGACTGTTGGTATAGATGGTAATCTTTTTCCCAGTCACATTGCTTCGCAGTAGGTTTTGTGTGCAATGGCAGATTGCCAGTATCTCAGATTGAAATACTGAAGCATATTTACCTAGTGGTATAGACATTTTTTCTTTATTGTCTTTGCGATAGATGCCTGCTCCAGAGCCGAAGGCTGTTAGAGAGCCATCTGTATAGCAATTGATACCATTATTTGGTTTGTGTTGTCTGCTGCTTTCTATCCCAACCTCATATTTTCAGTCCTGATATTCTCGGATTAGAGTGTCAGAGTGCATGGCTAGCACTCCATCAATCTCAAATTTAATATAAGTTTCATAAATAGCGCCCCCCAAAACATAATAGTCAACCCCGATATCGATTTAATCCAAAAAGTTAAAAAAAGTCGGAGGCCGGGGGGCCCAATCTCAAATTCGATATCATTTTCATAAATAGCGCCCCCCAAAACATAATAGTCGACCCCGATATCAATTTAATCCAATAAGTTAAAAAAAGTCGGGGCCCGGGAGGCCCATTCTCAAATTCGGTATCATTTTCATAAAAAGCGCCCCCTAAAACATAAGAGTCGACCTGATATCGATATAATCCGAAATGTTACAAAAAGTCGGGCCCGGGGGGCCCAATCTCAAATTCGATATAATTTTCATAAATAGCGCCCCCCAAAACATAATAGTCGACCCCGATATCGATTTAATCCAAAAGTTAAAAAAAGTCGGGGCCTCGGGGGCCCAATCTCAAATTCGATATCATTTTCATAAACAGCGCCCCCCAAAACATAAGAGTCGACCCTGATATCGATATAATCCGAAATGTTACAAAAAGTCGGGCCCGGGGGCACCAATCTCAAATTCGATATCATTTTCATAAATAGCGCCCCCAAAACATAATAGTCGACCCCGATATCGATTTAATCCAAAAAGTTACAAAAAGTCAGGGCCCGGGGGCCCAATCTCAAATTCGATATAATTTTCATAAATAGCGCCCCCCAAAACATAATAGTCGACCCCGATATCATTTAATCAGAAAGTTACAAAAAGTCGGGCCCGGGGGCCCAATCTCAAATTCGATATCATTTTCATAAAAAGCGCCCCCTAAAACATAATAATCGACCCTGATATCGATTTAATCCGAAAAGTTAAAAAGTCGGGCCCGGGGGGCCATATCTCAAATTCGATATCATTTTCATAAAAAGCGCCCCTAAAACATAAGAGTTGACCCTGATATCGATATAATCCGAAAAGTTAAAAAAGTCGGGCCCCGGGGGCACAATCTCAAATTCGATATCATTTTCATAAAAGCGCCCCCTAAAACATAATAGTCGACCCTGATATCGATTAATCCGAAAAGTTAAAAAAGTCGGGCCCGGGGGGCCCAATCTCAAATTCGATATCATTTTCATAAATAGCGCCCCCAAAACATAATAGTCGACCCCGATATCGATTTAATCCAAAAAGTTAAAAAAAGTCGGGGCCGGGGGGCCCAATCTCAAATTCGATATCATTTTCATAAATAGCGCCCCTCAAAACATAATAGTCAACCCGATATCGATTTAATCCAAAAAGTTAAAAAAAGTCGGAGGCCGGGGGGCCCAATCTCAAATTCGATATCATTTTCATAAATAGCGCCCCCCAAAACATAATAGTCGACCCCGATATCAATTTAATCCAAAAAGTTAAAAAAAGTCGGGGTCCGGGGGGGGCCAATCTCAAATTTAATATAAGTTTCATAAATAGCGCCCCCCAAAACATAATAGTCAACCTCGATATCGATTTAATCCGAAAAGTTAAAAAAGTCGGGGCCCGGGGGCCCAATCTCAAATTCGATATCATTTTCATAAATAGCGCCCCCAAAACATAATAGTCGACCCCGATATCGATTTAATCCAAAAGTTAAAAAAAGTCGGGGCCGGGGGGCCCAATCTCAAATTCGGTATCATTTTCATAAAAAGCGCCCCCTAAAACATAAGAGTCGACCCTGATATCGATATAATCCGAAATGTTACAAAAAGTCGGAGGCCGGGGGGCCCAATCTCAAATTCGATATCATTTTCATAAATAGCGCCCCCAAAACATAATAGTCGACCCCGATATCAATTTAATCCAAAAAGTTAAAAAAAGTCGGGGCCGGGGGCGCAATCTCAAATTCGGTATCATTTTCATAAAAGCGCCCCTAAAACATAAGAGTCGACCCTGATATCGATATAATCCGAAATGTTACAAAAAGTCGGGCCCCGGGGGCACTATCTGAAATTCGATATCATTTTCATAAATAGCGCCCTCCAAAACATAATAGTCGACCCCGATATCGATTTAATCCAAAAAGTTAAAAAAAGTCGGGGCCCGGGGGCCCAATCTCAAATTCGGTATCATTTTCATAAAAAGCGCCCCCTAAAACATAAGAGTCGACCCTGATATCGATATAATCCGAAATGTTACAAAAAGTCGGGCTCCGGGGGCACTATCTGAAATCCGACAGCATTATCATAAAAGTCAAGTGGTGTAGAAAAAAAAATGGTCCCCAAAGTTGATTAAATCCAAAATATTTTAATAATTCTTTATTTTATCGATTTACATTAATATCGATACTATTTTAAAAAACTATACCCCCATAAGATAACAATGGACTTAAATATGGAAGAAATATTAAATATTCTACTCCTGTAATTTTTATAATGAAATACTCGATTACTTTGAAAAGTACTCAGAGTAAAATATTGCTGAGTAGATTTGAAAATAGAAAGTACTCACGAGGCCAGCTGATTACTTTTTGTACTCGTCAATCATGAGGTCGAGTAGTGATTGAAGTACTCGATACTCGAACCGGGCGAGTATTTGAGTAAATTACTCTGTAATTGTACTTTTTACTCAGAGTACAATTTTGCCCATCTCTACTATCAACAACTACTACGTATATTCAAAGGTCGTTAAGGAATGCAACACAGCACTTAACGAACTAACTGAGTACAATAGAGTTGCAGTAGCGTGGGAGCCTGGTCACTCGGTCATACCAGGCAACGAGGAGGCTGATGAACTAGCCAGATCGGATTCAGATACCATTCCTGTAACTCCCAAGCCTGTCTGTGGAATCAGCCTCAGCACTGCCAAGGGTAGGATCAGGGAGATGTATGGGAACAAATTTAGTAATTACTGGACCGACAAAAAACAGCGACATTCGAAGCTGTTCCTTAAAGGTCCATGTGAAAAAAGAAGCAAACTGCTACTGGATATGGACAGAGCAGCCCTTACAGCAGTCTACACAGGTCACTGTAAGCTAAATTACCATATGTTCAATCTCCGAGTCATGACGAATCCGCTATGCAGATTCTGTCAGGAGGAGAATGAAACAGCCTTTCACATCGTGTGTAGATGTGATAGATTCACAAGGCTGAGACTGGTAGAATTTGGGGAAGAATGAATGGATCTCCACAGTAGCTATGAGTCGGTCAATCCAACCAGCCTACATAGATAGGCCGAAGCGACTAGTATAATGTTTTAATTAAAAATGACTAACTGAAATTGGTGCACAATGGACCCATAAGGGGTCGACGTGCTCAGGGCCAACACTATAAAAAAAATAAAATAAAAAACAACTTTTTTTTTGGAAGGGCCAGTATGAAAGCTGCTCCTTGAATTTCCCATTGTAGAATAATAATTTTTTACTAGGTTGAATTGTTTATTATTTGCAACTCTATTTCCTTTATTCAAGAATAATTTCTTAAATTTGACTTTATTTAATTATATTCTTATAATTGGGATTTTATAAATGAATAATAACAAATAAAAGACAATGTGAAACTTACAAATTGAAGATATAGTCTCCCAGCAGCAAGAGCAGAAGTATATTCCGAGTTCAGTGATAGTGAGACAACATTTGCTGGATACTGTTTGTCACATAAAAATACAGGAGAGGTCTTGAGAAGACCTCCAGCAGCCAGGTCATAAACCCATGTACGATTATTCATGCCTTTTTCAACAAATAAAAATTAAACATACCCAATCTTAAATATACATTTCTTATTTCCTATAGTAAAAAAAGGAAGCTTAAATAAAATAAAATAAAATAAAAACAAGAACAGGATTCAGTAAGAAAATAAATAAATAATAACTTATAAGTAAAAGTATAGTACTTAACAGGAAATTTATGACTTAAAAAATATAGTTAATTTAAGTTCTCAAAAATGAAAAGTTGTATGAAAACGAAATTACGTATTTAAAGTAGGTGTATGTCAGGGATGTTACAGCAACTTTTTCACTAAAATCAACTAACCAGATGTCGGACCTTAAATCATCAAATTTACATTTGGATTTCTGACTTTGGTTATACATGAAGTTAATCGGGCTACCTTCGAGAATCTAAAAACTGCTTGAGTAAAAGCAATTGACAATTTTCTACACGAAGTATTACTTATACCAGTAGATAACTGGCCCTGCAAACCTCAAGTCTTTGAACAGACCAGAAAAGGCCATGTTAAATAATTTATTTTTCATTTTATCATTTATGTATAAGAGTTGACATATAAATAAATTTTACTGTCAAAATCAATATGCTTTTAATTTTCTAATTTCTTTTTGCACTAGAATTTATGAAAAGATTAGGAAGGAGGCCCCTTTTAATGAATCTTGATTTAAAATGGCTAGATAAGGTCAAAACTCTTTTTATAAGAAATAAATATATTTATTGGGATTAATGATCCTATAATTTTACTAAATTAAAATAGAAAATTGAATTCACTATAACCAATGGCTATAGGTAGGTACATATCAAAATAATCTTACCCACAATTGCATGATAAGGTCCCACACCAATGACACTTGGCTCCACTTCTGTTTTCAAAGTAGTTTCCAGTTTTTTACCAGAGTCCTTTTTCAACAAATAATAACTTATAAGATTAAAAAAATATTGTTTTCTTATGTATCATTTAGTATAAATCATATGCGTAATAATAAAACATGATGCAATACTTCTCAACTAGGTTTACAATAGTAAACTACCAGGAGTATTCATATATATATATATATATATATAATTTATTTATTCTTGGCGCTACAGTAAGGACCTGGGTCTCTCTTATGATCCTTCGCCACTTCCCTCTATCCCGAGTGAGCATTCTCCATCTTCGAAATATATATACATATATAAACCTACCTATATACAATTTTATGAAGTTGTATTTTTAATTATATTATATTATATGACATAAAAATACTAGAATAAGAAGAGAAATCAAGGTGCATTCTCAATCACACTTTTAATCTACATGTTAATAGGCAAGAAATTTTTTGATCATACCCAATGACTCCAGCTAATATACATAGTAGATAGAGTTGCCCAAATGTGAGACCGAGACAGGTCTTGGTCTTGCAAACTCAGTCTTGTCATGGTCTTGGTATTGCGCAAGAGTCTCGCAGCAGTCTTTCAGTTATTTATTAGCTTATTATTATAGTGATATTACTCTAATTTTTTAGATAGAAGAAACCTAACTAAGCCCGAATGAAAAATTAGAGGAGTTAAATGCAAAAGTATATTGGTTATACCAATTATTAACATACAGTAACTAAGATTGTCAAGTATTAGTAAATATTTTGCCTTAATTTTTATTTATAAAAATCGATTTTTTTTATCAGTCCTGGTCTTGGTCTTGCAACAGTTAGACGCCTTTGGTCTTGGTCTTGCAAAGTGCAAGACCAAGACCGATTTTGGGCAACACTAATAGTAAGAGAATAAGACATATATCATTGGTCACCATAATCCATTGAACGAGTGGACTGATTTTGTTGCTTCTTTTTTGGTTTAATAAGTTTTTGATCGCCAATACATACATACCATATTCGCCAACCTATGCTAAATAGCAGCTGTGAAATTGTCTTTGTGAAAAAAGTCTTTTTCTAAAGACTACAACACCGACACATCTCTAATGATTTTGTTGAAACTTGCCCAAAGATTTGTTTCTTAAAGCCTTTTAATTATCCATATATCCCCTCAAAAAAGCAGAAAAGAAATTATAAAGAAAAGAATAATTTATTTGCCCATAACTCAAGTATTTATTTCATGGCCGATTTTATACATAATCATTTTAAAGATATTGAAATTAAAAAAACAACAACTCTAAATTGGATAATTATTACTGAAGATACAATATGCTTGCTTTGGGCACATGTGGTTTATTTTTTTTAATAATGTATCTTTTCTTTCTACCATAGTTTTTTTAGTTTCCTCTTCTGTAGAGTTTCTTTAACCAGGCATAAACTCAGCTCTTCCCTGATCCTGTAATTTCAAACATAGACCTTCCATGTTTTCTCCACAATTAACCTTAGAAACTTCATTTCCGAGGCAGTGATACGACTTAGTAGCCTCTAATGCATAAACTGATTTTTATTTAAAATTCAATAATTCTTTTATTAATTAAAAACTGAAGATTTTAATTTACCTGAACAAGTGAAATTGTAACTTGTGAAAGAGAAGTTAACGTAGCAGTCAGGTCTCCATGAGAAGCTGCTAGACGTGGCATTCTAGAAACAAACACAGCTATGGACCCACTGGCAGTGGCTACACATAATAACTGTCCATCTTCACTCCATGCAATTCTTTCTATTTCTTCTCCTGCCATAGTTATAACTGCAGTTGTCTCACTTAGGGACATCAATTCATGGATCTTGACTCTAATGAAAAGAGGAAAGAAAGTAATCAATATTTTTATTTTATTTTATTAAATATTGGAATAATTAGAATATAATGACAATGTTCAAAATATAACTAAATTTAACTTAATTATATAAACTAGTAATAATTAAATTATACGATTCAAGATGCTTTAATGTCTGACTAATTCATAATAAATAAATTGTAAAATCTACTTAAAACAAAGTGTGTGTTTACTCTTCAATGAATTACGATACTTACGAGTTATCTCCACAAGTAGCCATTTTGGAGAGTGGAGAGGATATACACAAATAAGTAAGTTTTCCATGATGATTTTTAGTTTGATATAGTTCTTGACCAATTTCTCTTGGTTTTGTAGATATTGATATAAAATAACCAGCACTAAATCCCACCACAATATTACCATCAGCATACCTATAAAATACAATAACATCATAAGACCTTAATGAACTCCAAAGACACAAAATGTTATTATTTATGTATCAGTGCAGAAGACTATAACGACCCATTTTCTCATAATTTTCTATTTGTTAATATATTGTGAATGTTTCTCACTAAATATTTATATCATAATCATCATCATAATCATTCTCCCATCTACCACTGTTCGGTGTGAGGGTTCTGCTTATAGAGTCTGGCCCAGTTGTCTCTCTCCTGCACCAACTCTATTTTCCTATTCCAATCCATTCCGCGCTTCCTGAATGCCTCCTTTACACTGTCCTCTCAGGAGATACGAGGCCTTCCTCTGGTTCTTTTCCCTTCCGTGTGCGTCTTGTGAGTCTTCCTGATGCTTCTATCTCGATTCATTCTAAGCAGATGTCCAAACCACCTCAGTTTGTGCTCCTCCAGAATGGTCTCTGCCGGTTTGACATTGAGATTAATCCTTATGGTGGCATTCCGTATTGTATCTCTCCGGGTCTTTTGTTCGATTTTATGCAGATACCTCATTTCCATGGCTTGTATATGGCTTTTGTGTTTTGTGATGAGGGTCCACGATTCTAAAGAGTACGACAGGATAGGGAGGAATGTCGATTCATAGACGGCTAGTTTAGTCCGCTTTGACACCTCTGTTCTTCTCAGGAAACTCTGTCTGATCATACTGAACATGCTCCCTGCCGCTCCAATTCTTTGGGCTACTTCTTCGTCATTGAAGCCACTCTCATTGAGATGAGCTCCCAAATATTTAAAGCTTTCGACCTGTTCTAATCTGTCTTCCAACTCTTAGTAGAGAAGGAGATAGAGAGGAACCTTGAGGGATACCACAGGAGATGGGGAGGGTCTTAGATGGGAGTTGACCTGGGACGACTACATACTGGGACCGATTTGAAAGGAAGGATTTGAATCAAGGACACTGTTGGATAGAGGAAGATTGGGAAATTTCGTAAGGAGGACGTTATGGTCAACTGTGTCGAACGCTTTGGAAAAATCTAGAAGGATGAGGATGGTAAGGTTTTGGTGTTCAATGGAGTTTTGGAGGTCATGGGTTATTTTAAGGAGAGTGGATTGCATTGAGTAGCCAGGTCGAAAGCCAGATTGGAATGGATTGATAAAGGAACGTTCTTCTAGGAAGTTGGAGAGTTGATTTTGGACAAGGCGTTCTAGCGGCTTTGAAAGGTTGGATAGGAGAGAAATAGGACGGAAATCGTGCAATGAGGTAGAGTTTGAAATTTTATTCAAAGGTCGGACTAGGGCAGTTTTTTCATTATGGAAGTAGTTGGATTTATCCAGTCAGATTGTGGATTGGGTTCCATTGCGAAGTTTCTTAAAAGACGCATAATCAGCTGGCAAACGGGTTCGGCGGTATTTGCGCCTTGCTGCATCCCTTCTTTTCATCATTTCCTTTATTTCAAGAGTCAGCCAAGGTGCAGTTTAGTTTTCAGAGGAGCGTGGGTGTCTAATAAGGATTGTAGGTTTGAAGTTAGGGTAGATATCATAGGATCAATAGAGTCATAGGAAGATATGATGTCCCATTGGAAAGAATTAAGGTCAGGTTGTAGGGATTCATAGGACAGAAGGTTTAAATTACGGTATGAATCTATTTTGGGTGTAAAGGATTTCACGGGTAGGTCGTACGTAATTTGGATCAGGTCGTGTGATGAAAGAAATGGAACGGGAGATACTGAATATCATTTAAATTACATCTTTTCAAATTTTAGTAGATAAATACATTATTTTAGCCTGAATTCAGTTAATTAAACTACATTTTTCTTTCTGCTAGGTTACTGAATTTCTTCAAAATAAATTAATGTTATTAACCTATGATTCGTTTTAAACTATCAAACACTATTTAATAGTCTTAATAGTTAGTTCTGTTTTTTGAGCAATCATCAGCTGAAAATTAAAATCATATATATTTGAAATAATATCAAAAAGAAACTAATAAATGACACACAATTGAAATAGTTTCAGAAACAATGGTTGAAAATGGCAATAGTGAAAGCTTTTATTTTTTAAATTCTAAATTGGCATTAAAATAAAATACAGATAACATTACATAATATCTTCATATAATATTTTTGTTGCAAATTTCATAAAAGAATTTCGATTGAGTTTTAGTGATAAATTTAAAATTTGAGAGGGTCTGGGAATATTATCCAGAGGCCTAAGAAAGTAAATTAGAGGCTCTTGGTTTCTCTCCCCGGGGGCATTGAGATAAATTATTTTGCTTACAATGAAATTATAATTTTTTTTTTAAGATCAAAAAATGTCTTCTCGTATCTTGTAATCACAAGGAAAGATTTAAATGTCACTAGTATCTGACTATTTAAAAAAAGAAAAGGACAATTATTACCCCGTGAGACCATTTACTATAAATTACACTGCCACTATGACCTGCATAACCATATTGAATTAAAATGAAATATGGTTGTAGAATAAATTAGTATTCATCACATGCCCCAGTTTTAAATATTATGAGAGATAAAATAAGAGAGAGCAAAAATCATGGAAACCAATTGGTCAGGGGATTACACGATGGGAGACCCAGAGGAGAGGGATAATATACACATTTTATGATGTGATACTGTGATGGTTCCTTTAATCATTTCTATGCTCCTTGGGCCTAGTTGAAAGTCATTATTGTACAAATCCTTTTCAGCCAAAGTTTCTTTTTGTAATCTATCACCTACTACTAATTTTTTTTAAAGCACTTGGTGAACACCGAACCAAACCAACCCACAAATGGAAGATTCTTAAGAAATTATTAATCACAGAAATTTTAGTAATGTCTCATCATACCATAAGCATATAATAAAAAATATATAATAAACAAAAATTCAAGAAATTAAAGTACCATTCATATGATACAATGTTTCCATAATTTCCTTGGAATGCCATTTCAACTGGATTATCTGGATCATCGAGGTTATATATGAAAAGAATCTTCCTTCCAACAATAACACTGATCTGTAACCAACAATAGGAATGAATAAAATATTTACTTTAAAGTCTATTAATGAAAATAGCTAGCATCACTCAAACAAACAATGGAAATTAAATCAACACATTGAAAGTTTTAAAAAAGAAACATACTGTGGTATCTGGTGATAATCGATCATCATTTTTTATTGAAGCAAATTGAAGCGATGAAGGTTCAGATCTTAAGGGAATAGTCCGAAGGGTATCACCTTGGTTATTACTAATAGTGACTGTTTTATCCTCAGATCCAAGAGCCAAAAGCCCAGTTACTCCCCACGACGCAGTAACAATTCTTCTAGAATGTTTTCCTAAAACTGGGATTCGCCTTAAAATACAAACAATATAAACAATAATTTAAAAATACAAAAATAAAATATTTTTATACATTTACAACTAAGTTTCTAACAACACATGTATCTTATTATATACAATAGAATTCTATCATTATAAACATAACTTAAAGGCTCTAACATTTCACACTTTACTTCCACTAGTTTAGGAGAGAAAGGAGGAAGAGATTATAACTTTGTTTCAATTAACATAAATGGGAGGTAACAATTAATAACGATTATAAAATCTGTTCAGTCAACTTCCGAAACAAGAAGAAGGCCACATAATCTTACACATATAACAATTACACCTTTGAAGCAGTTGATCATTTCACATACCTTGGAACTGAAATCAACTCTGAAAATAAGGTTAGTGATGAGATCAAGAAAAGAATTATGAGTGACAAGAAGGTTACTATGGCCTTGTGAACTTGATGAAGTCTATTCTTCTCTCTAAACCTACAAAATTACAAATGTATAAATTGCTTATCAGACCCTGAAAACAAAGGACTAACAGGCTCTGAGGGTATTTGAGCGGAAAGTATTGAGGCTCATTTTTGGTTCCATCTGCGAACAAGGTGCCTGGCACGTATGGAATAATGAGGAACTGGATGAGCTAAATAACCATTGTTAGATTTATTGAGACAAAAAGAATTAGCTGGCTTGGGCATGTTGAAAGATTAACCAATGAACGAATGGTGAAGAAGTTCACAAGAGGATAATAATAACCTTCCCAGGATAGAGGAAGAGAGGATACCCTAGAAATAGCTGGCAAAAGGACGTGGAAAAGGATCTCAGAAAAATTGGCATAATTAACTGGAAAAAGAGCTCAGGGCAGAGAGAAATGGAAACTTGCTGTAGAGCCACATATGAAAGTAGGGAGGATAAAATAACTTTAAATTAATAGTTCCTATGTTATATTATGGAGTTTTTATGTTTACATAAGGTAATAACCTTTAATAAATTAGCTTTAGTTAAATAACTTAATAATTACATATAAACTAGCTATACTTAAACAGAAATGAATATTTACTCAAAGTAGAGTAATCAGTGAAATTTGTATGAAGTTAGCATAAATTCATAAAGTTAGTCTAATCAATGAATGCTCAAAAAGGGTGTATAGAAGGAAATGACGGGGAAACAATTTTTGACTTTGGAACATTTTTGAACTGGTAAGGATGTAAACATATTAAAATTTCACACTCCTAGGTGATGAGCCAGATGTGGAAGTACGCCTAGGTCACTTTTTTGGGGGTTTTCGCTTATATCAGAAAAACTATCCATCGCATCGAAAAAACGTTCCACAGAATTAAAGCTGATAAAATTTGCAATATGATTGATTATATTCCTCTTTTCACTACCTCGCTTAGTTTTCAAAATATCTGTCCTAAACTATGCCTGATCTCGAAAAAAATTTGCCTTGTTTTTATTGCTATTTTTTAAGTTATCGCTTATATCAAGAAAACTATCCATGGCAACGACAAAAACATTTTATTCAAAATTAAAGCTGATAAAAATTGCAATATGATTGATTATGTACTTTTTATAGCTAGCTATCTTAGTTTCTGAGATATCTGTCCTCAACTATTGCTAATTCTAAAAAAAAAATTTTATCTCATATTTTTTACTGTATTTTGACTCTTGATAGCATTGATTTAGGATTAAATAATTGGGAAGAATGTTCTAATTTTCACTTGTGAAAGGAAAATTGACTAATGTTAAAATGTTTATCTAAATAGTTCATAGATTTTAAAGCAGTAATTAAATCAGATCAACAGAAGTTGTTAAATTATGTGTTAATACAATAATTGTTTCTTAGTTTGTATATACTTTATATGATTTCGATATTTTAATTTTTTTAATGTGGATCATGTCATGTTTTCGACCATTATAATGTATATATGTATATTATGCCCATGTTTAGTTATTTTCATTCTTTAGTTTAGATATTTAAAAAAAAAAAAACTGAAATTATTGAAATTTCTAATCCCTCTATAATTTCATTTTGATTTTAAAACTGTTGTAGGTACATCAGTATATTTAAATACATTATAGACAGATTAATAATCAAGTAATAAGTAAGTTTAGCATATTTAGAGATTAGTTACTGTATTGTTCATGTTTTTTTACTGCATGAAAATCCGGGCCTTGGCAATAACACTACAAATAAGGAAAATTCAACAATAATAGTTAGACAAAAAATGTATTATTTTTCTCTAACTCAGCAATTAAAGTTATTCTCAAATTTTTGTTATTAATAAATATTTTATTGTATAACAAACAATGTAATCCAATAAAAATATCAACATGGTAATCGAATATTTAATTTTCTAAATACAATAAAACACAGAAAAATCTAGATGATTAGAAAAAGACAATTATCACATATTTTAGGTTCTAAATTGATTCACACTTGACTAACTTTGCAAGTAATTTTTATAAGGAAATGTTTTAAAATAATAATATGATGGATAAATTGATAAATAAAAATAATTTTAGCACATAAATATGATGTTTGTTTAGCGTTCATCAAAATAATAATATTTTATAAGAATAGTATTGGTTTTATAGTAAAGAAACACATAACAGTTATATTAGATCTTTTCTAAGGAAATTATAAATTCACCATCACCAGATATGTGGAAACATTAAAACAGCAGAAACTATTCCAAACAAGACAAGAATTTGGAGGAATAAAATAATGAATTCAATTAGGAATGATACAAATCTTCCTTTGATAAATGATTTATAATCTAGAAATAATTATGAATTAGTAATAAAATAGTTCTTGGAGAAAGTGGAATGCTCATAAAAAAACTTACTTAGAAGTTCTATGGTTATATATGCAAAGATTTCCTCTAGCACTTCCAACAGCAACAACAGGTTCATTCTTTGACCATGCAATAACAGTAAGAGTATCTCTCAACCCTGTCTCAATACTATATCGTTTAGCAGTGTTTGAGTCCCATAGCATAATCATAAAGGATCCATCACTGATCATTCCAAGTAAATCACCATCACTATCCCATCCAAAACCTGTGCATTGCCTAAAAAATTAAAATTATAATTCATTCCATATAAATAGTAAAATTTACAAGATTACAATATTAAAAATAGCCTCTTGAATTCAATTAAGTATAAAATATATACCTTTAAAAAAAAAAAAAAAGAAATAATGCCTTATTAATACACAGTAAAGAAAAAGAAACAATTGTTATAAACTTTAATCATAATCATTTTACATTTATAATCTTTATTTATACATATACATATGAAGTTTAAATGTTCTTATGAACAATGATGATTTGAAATAATGTTCATCTGCCATATATTGCAATTTTAACATCCTAATAAAAATACATAGTCTGCAAACAAAACCAACAAGTGTTCGATGACATATGAGATGAATAACTATAATTAAATTTTTTTTTTTTCAGAACACTTTCTGAAATATATTTTATTAGCCCCACTTTTTCAAATGTAATACTTGTTGATTTGTTAAAAAAATAATTAGGGTATTCTTCGAATTGATAGAAATGTTCACAAAATGAATTAATTATAGGATTATAATTGTAAATATTATTTAGTTCAAGACAGTAAATCATTATATATTTTTTAAATATAATATGCTCCATGAGTGTGATAGTGAATAAACAAACTTATTATTTTGACTGTTCAGTAAGTCTTACAAAACAAGCTGATATAGTAGAACCCAGACACATTGAAATTTGACTTACTTTATTAGGAAGCTATCTGCCTCCTGCTTCCTGCTATCCTTGTTCATTAGCCAGCCATTTTACCAAATCATGATGTTTGTCATGGATATTTCCAGACATAAAATTTTTAAATTATTCAAGAATAATTAAAAAGTAATTTATATTATATGCAACCTATATATTCCATAGGTGATAACAAAGTTAAGGACCAATCCAAATTTATGTTATTGAAACTTTATAGTACCAAACTAATATGCATTTTCTTTTTAAAAAAACATACCTTAAAATATTCATCACTTTAAAACAACACAAAATACAGCTTAAATGGCTGGAAAATTTCAGAATTTTGATGGAAATAATTTCAATGAAATAGAAATAAATTTTATTTTTTTTTAATAATGCGAATATATGAAAAAAAATATGTAGTAAGATAAGGTGTACATGGAAGATTGATAATTAGGGGATGGAGAAACAATAGACATTTAAATGAAGTTAATGAAGGGAATATGTATCAAACAGAGCAAATAATATTTCAAACTCAATATCAAGTGCCGACAACCGAAACAAAGAAAAAAAAGAACTGTTAAGAGGAAGCCGATATCAAACACTTCTTTACAGTGACATGGGTTTGTCAAAGCAGAGTAGCATTTACCTAGGGATCTTTTCTCAAGTTTGCTAGTAATTGGTTCTACCTGGCTCCTTTTGGGTGTCACCACTTTAAATAATTTTACACCCCCCGAAGTTTAAAGCCAATCAGAACCATCCTTGTCCCAGCCTGGATTGTATAAAATTGCCTACAAGTAAAGGGTCTAGGACTTATGTTTTCTTCCTGCTTTGGAGACTAAGGGTGCAGCTTGGCCTATACAGGCCTGGGAGGTGGGTTTCTTCGAACTTAGAACATGGAATTATTTGGACCTTGGCTTTGATAGGAGCAGATGGCATC